GCAGCCAAAGGGCCGGATGTGGCCCCGGAGCCAAAGAATGCCCTGGTCTGTCTTAAGCGGTGCCCCCTGGAGGGATGCAAAAGACCCATCTTCCTCCGTGGCTGCATCCAAAAGGCCCCGAACCCATGGGTCTGGCATAAGGCTTGTCCGCCAGGCATTGGCAGGAAACAAAACTCATGGTTTCTTTGGATTGTGGTATTGGCTGGCGGAATTTGTACTATGAAGCTGGTTATATTTAAGATAGTTTAATTTTAGCCTCGAATTGAACACCGCTTCCGAGTCGTTTTGTGTGGGCAGCCATGTAAATCAAATCAGAACAACGGTCTTCATAGCCGTGATTCGAGATGAATAGAAATGGGAAGAGGTGGGGTGGGGTGGGGTGGGGTGGGATGGAATAGAATAGAATAGAATAGAATAGAATAGAATAGAATAGAATAGAATAGAATAGAAATAAGAATGGAATGGAATGGAAATAAGGAATAGAATAGAATTAGATTAGAATATAATAGAATTATAATAGAATAGAATTAGAATAGAATAGAATTAGAATAGAACAGAACAGAACAGAACAGAACAGAATAGAATAGAATAGAATAGAATAACAGAGTTGGAAGGGACTTTCTAGGTCTTCTAGTCCAGCCCACTGCTCAGGCAGGAGACCCTATAGTACCAATTTAGAGAAGTTACTTTGGCTCTTTCATGACTCGTGGACTTCAACTCCCAGAATTCCTGAGCCAACCATGCTGAGGGGAAAGGGAGAGGTTTCCATACGGGCTCAGGAATTCTGGGATTTGAAGTCCACGAGTCATAAAAGAGCCAAGGTTGCCTACCCCCTGCCCTATACCATTTCAGACAAATGGCTGTCCAGTCTCTACTTAAAAACTTCCAGTGTTGGAGCATTCACCGCTTCTGGAGGCAGGTTGTTCCACTGGTTAATTGTTCTCACTGTCAGGAAGTTTCTCCTTCGTTCTAGGTTGCTTCTCTCCTTGATCAGTTTCCATACATTGCTTCTTGTCGTGCCCTCAGGTGCTTCGGAAAATAGCTTCACCCCCTCTTCTTTGTGGGAGCCCCTCAGATATTGGAACACGGCTATCGTGTGTCCCCCCATCCCGCCCCTGTGGAAGTTCTGACTTCTCCCTCTCCTCCCGCAGCTGATCGAGAGAGTCGGTATGAGGAGGAGGAGGAGCGCTCCATGAGCCGCAAGAGGAAGGTTCCCTCCACCCAGAGTTCGGGACACAAACGCAGCTCCCACAGCTCCCACGGCTCCCACAGTCGCAGTCCCGGCCGAAGTTCCGCCCCGCCTAAGAAGAAGAGGAAGTAGACTGGGAGGGGGGGGGAGGAATGACAAACCTTTCCCATCAGTCAGTTGGGGCAGGGAGGGCCTCCCTCTGTCAGCCAAGTCTTTAGGGGCCCGGGGAGACAGTCAGCAACTCCCCGTAAGCTTTTTTTTTCCACCTTTCCCACATCCCCACCCCCCTTTGTTTTGTTTCTCTGGAGCGTCCGTTCCGTTCTTCTCCCCCACGTCTTTTCTGAACCGTTCCCACGGACCAATCCGCAGCGAGAGAATTCCAGGCCGTGTTCACACGGTGGACAAAAACTCTGCCGGGGAGGGGGCACGGAGGCCGTCTTGGGCGAGACTCAGGAAACTAGTGTGACTTTACCATGCTTCTCTGTGGCTCCCAGCCGCCGCCGCCCCCCTCCCTCCCTTTTCCGCTGTCCTCCTTGGGGGGGGGGTATGATCGATTCCAAGCATCCTTCTGCATAGGGACTCTTCCCCATTTCGCTCCCCCGCCCCCACCCCGCATCCGAAGCCTTGGAGTGAGGAGCCGGTTGACTTTTTAAGTATTACACCCAGGTCAAGAACTCAAAGGTTGGAGCCCAACGGCTCGTTCTGTTGGCGTTTTGAACCGACAGGGAAGAGCGGGATTGCGTTTGTGCAAGCAACGGCAGGAAATCCACCTTGGAACTGACAAAGCTTCCGTAAATACGCAAGCAAGCAGGAAATGGGGAATTAGGACACACGAGCGAAAGAAAAGATTCTTGCTTCTTTCTGTTCTTTATTTCTTATGTTATTATTTTTTTGTTCCCCTTTTACGGGATCTCCTTTCTCCCCCCCCCCTTTTTTTTGTTTTTCTAATTGTCAAGCTCCTGTTTGTATTTATCTGTTTCCAGGGTTGCCACGTTGGTCTCCAGTGAACGAGAGAGGGGAACGGATTAAGTGCATTTCCTGCCCTAACCCTCCCTTGTTTCCTTGGGGGGGGGGAAGTGTTTCCACCTTATCCAGGCTGGGTGGGAGGGAGTTGGGGGCTTTCTCAACGTTTTTTTTTCCCGTAGCCGTTAGCACTCTTGATATTTTTGACTTTGGAGAAACTGAACAATAAAAATGTTTTTTTAAAAAAAATAATAATAATAAAATAGGAAAGTTTTATTTTGCTGGCTTCTTGGCTCGCCGTTCCGAAGAAAGCAGCAACGATCCTTTTCATAATGGAAGCCTCTTCACCCCTCTTCACCCCTCGCCGCACAGCCATTCCCCTGCCCGGTAGATAGCGCGCAGCACGGCAGCCGCTTCAACAGAGACTTTCAGCTTCCCAATCTTGGTGGTCTGGTCTAAAGAACTCAAAACTGGGTGATAAGAAATGAAATGTACAGGATAATGTCATTTCCCCGTCTGGCAGTCATTTGTGAAAAATGACTTGAATAGTTTTAGATTGAATAAGCTAATTTTCTGATCCTCTAGGCAGTAACTGGTATCACCTTAGTCTGGCAGGAATTTATATACAGCATCCATCAGTGGTGGGTAATTAATTTTCCCCAGGGGCCAGGAGAGAAACAGACTCTTGTGGAGGGCTGAACTAATAGGACTGTGAAGCTGCATAAGCACGTGTGTGTGGTACACACATAAACTGGGGGGAAAAAATAATTGCCTTCTGAATAAAAGCAATACTGTGAATCAGAATAGAGCTGGAAGGGACCTTTGAGGTCTTCTAGTCCAACCCCTTGTTCAGGCAGGAGGCCCTATAGCCTTTTGGATAGGTGCCTATCCAGTCTAACCTCCAGTGATGAAGCAGCTACAACTTCTAAAGGCAAGCTGTTCCACTGGTTAATTGTCCTCTCTGTTATTTACATTTAGTTTCTAATTTCCAATTGACTTCACGTGGCCCAGATAAGGACAGCCAAAGGGCTGGATGTAGCCTGGGGGCCATAAAATGGCCCGGACTGAATTACATTCTATAGAGCAAGGATCTTCAAACTTGGCCCTTTTATGACTTGTGGACTTCAACTCCCAGAATTCTTCAGCCAGACACGCTGAAGTTTGAGAGTTATCAGAATGCCAAACCAACAGTTAACCAAAATCATCATTAAAATGGTCCCCAGTGCATTTAGTGACCATCGAAAGCAGGGATCTTCAAACTTGGCAACTTTAAAACTTGGGCTGGCTGAGGAATTCTGGGAGTTGAAGTCCACAAATCATAAAAGGGCCAAGTTTGAAGACCCCTGCTCTAGAGGTAACCCTCAACTTACAACTATTTGTTTGGTGATTACTATTTGTTTTGATTACCTGACCGCGGGGATACTGCAACGGTCATAAATGCGAGGATCTGTCATGAGATATTTTTCAGCGCTGTTGTGACTCTAGATCAGGGGTCTTCAAACTTGGCAACTTTAAGACTTGTGGACTTCAACTCCCAGAATTCTGGCTGAGGAATTCTGGAAGTTGAAGTCCACAAGTTTTAAAGTTGCCAAGTTTGAAGACCCCTGCTTTAGATGGTCACTAAATGCACTGCTGTAAGTCGAGGACTACTGTAGATACTGGGGACCATTTTAATGATGATTTTGGTTAACTGTTGGTTTGGTATTCTGATAACTCTCAAACTTATTTTTAAATGAAGCTATCCAAACTTCAGTTGAAATTTGCACTTTTATTTCTCTCTGGCCTTGGGAAACTAGTTCCTGCAATTTTGGCTGGCAGAAGTTCAAATCCAGCCACATCTGAGGAGCTGCAAAGCTTCCGCCCCCGATGGCTATCAAGCAATCAAACCACATTTGGATTTTCATCACTTAAGCCTTGCCTTGGGTTGTGTGTTAACATCGCTCCCATTTTTGGAGGGAGGATGGACAACTGCTTTACCTTGTAAGTCTTGCTCAAAGATGTCATTTCCAGTCAGAAAAATCTCTCGCAAGTCCACGCTGGAAAAACCTACGTCTTCGCATTCCCCTCGGGCTCCAGGAAGAGGCTCGCTCACCACTATGAAAAGCAGCCTGTGCCAAGAGGGAGACTTGGTCAATAGATGTCCTGGGAATTTCTTTCCCGCAACTTTTTGAGGAGAAGAGCAGATCCGACACTCACTCGTTCCATTCGGAGTCCTCGGCCACCAGCATGGAAAGCAGCATTTGCCTCTGAAAACTTCCTGGATCTGGATCCACTTTGATCACTGGCACAAAAGAATTCAGGAAGTATTTATTCTGATATCCACGGAGAGTCTCAATTATTCAGGTCGTGGGTGGTCCCAAACATGTGCTTTTCCCAAAAGGCAACCGGAATTTTGTTGGTTTTGTTTTGTTTTTTTCTTGAAAATGTTTCGCTTCTCATCCAGGAAGGGAACCAAAGGAGATTCTTGGATGAGAAGTTAAATCAGTGGTTTTCAACCTTTTTAATGCCGTGACCCCACAACCGGTCGTAAGTCGAGGACTACGCAACCGGTCATATTCGAGGACTACTCAACTGGTGCAGCACCGTTTGCAGACTGGGACTTTTGGCGGGCTCAGCAGGGCAGAGACAGCCTGGACAATTCCTTTCAAAAGCCAATAGAATAAAAGGGAGTAGCACAGCTAAGGAAAAGGGGGAAAAAATGGCGGACTGTGTTTGGCGGCCCCCGTGAAATGGTCGTTCAACCCCAAATGGGGTCCTGACCCTCAGGTTGAGAACCACTGAGTTAAATGTTTTCAAAGGGGGGGGGAGGCCACAGTAGAGGTACACTCACAGGGCAAGGTCCAGGGTTCTAAGTCCAATCCACAAGGCAGGGTCCAGACACAAGCCAAGGGCAGTCCTCCAGAAAAAAAAAAACAGGTCCCAGAAAAGAAGCCGTTCCAAAGCCCCAGTGAAGCAAAGGCCCAACATAGGCCACCAGAGAAGGGCGAGTGTCAGATGGTGCCGACAAACTCCAGACACAAAAGGAACAGGTGACTAGCAAACTTTAATGCGAAGAAAAAGACATAGTTCCTCCAACTCCCTGGGCGTCATGGCATACATCCGGGGCTTGGGCAATTTTGCCCCCGGTACAATATCAACCGCGCAATCAGTGGGGCGGCAGAATGTTGCACTCCTGCTCACTGAAGACCTCGGCCAAATCACTGTACACTGCCGGGAAGGGGGCCTCCTCCCTGGTTTCCCTCACCTCTGCCTTGTTTTCCTTTCACTCCACCCCCTTTTCCCCAGGACCCTGGTTATGAGCCTGGGGTCCCACTCTGATACGCAACCTCCGATATCCCCCTTCCCACCATATTGTAGGACCTCACTTGTCCAGCCAAGCCAAGCCCAAAATCGCTGTCTCGGTCATGGACGGGACGACTATGAATCGGAGGACCTCCCATCACAGGCCCAAAACAAGATGCGAACAACCATCTTCCAAGTGAGGCAAGGCAAACAGCCACAGGCATGAGTAAAAGCCGGGGGGATGTAAGCCAAAGCAAGCAATTGTTCCTGGCAAAGGCTAACACCCCATGGCTTCTCCTTAAGTTACTCCCCTCCAGGTGTTCCTTGTGTGGAGGGAATGGGGTGACCTCCTCCCCAGTATCCTTGCAGCCCTTCTCTGAGCTTGCCTCCACTCCGCTGTCCTTGTCCTTGGATCGAGTGGAGTAGGCAGCTGTTCCTCATCAGAGTTCGGCACCACTGCCGGTCAGCAGCCGATCCTCTCCTGAGTCTGTGCAGGCAGGAAGCAATCCATCTGGTCGATCACCTCTCCACCTCTCCCCCAATGCCTGAGGGGCTGGGGACAGCTTCATCCTCAGCTCCTGGCGTGCCTTTCCTGTCAAACAATCCCAGCTCCAACTCTTTCTCCTCCTTCTCCTCGGAACTGGCCTCTGAGAGGGCATGACACTCCCGGAGGGAATTCAAGTTAGAGAACTCTGCTTTTCCCTCTATTTTCTCTCATAGCAAATTAAAAAAAAAAAAAAAAAGGATCTGTGTACATGTGCTCACCCTTGCTGAAGTGGAAATAGATCTCCTGGTCGCTGGTAGGTTTCCGCAAAGAGAAAGCTGTCTCGGTTTCCTCCAGAGGCAATCCAGGGAAGTGGAATTCGACATACAGTTGCTGGATGGTCTCATCGGCCACAGGCCAGCTGTCCGGTAAAAGGCCAAGGGAAATGACCTCCACACGGATCCAGTGTGAAGGTTGCTAAGGGTAGAAAAGAATTAAACCATTAGAAGAGAATATTTGTAGCTCAGTATTGAATTGTGGGGTCCTTGGTGCTCTCTGAGTTTGATGTTTTTCTTGCAGATAAAAAGTTCTTAAGGTCAACCTTTCTCGCCACTGTCCTTATAGTTCTATACTTCATGTTATCTTGTCTTCTTTTTTCCTCTCACCTGTGTAACCCAATGTCATCTGAATCCAGCTGTTAAGCTTTGCAAACTCTAGGTATCAGGATACGCAATGCTTGACCCCAGCAGATTGCAACTCACTTCATAAATCATGAGCCAACAAATTTTTATTTATTTGTATCCCGGCTTTATGATTTTTTGTACAAGTTACTCAAGGTGGCAAACATATCCAACACACCTTCCTCCTCCTATTTGCTCCACAACAACAACACTGTGAGGTAAGTTGGGCTGAGAGACGGCCGGCTTTCATCTCTAAAACGGAACTAGAATTCCCAATCTCCTGGTGTTTGGATCAAAGACACCCAGCTGGCTTTCATGGCTAAGATGGCACTAGAACTCATAGTTTCCCAGTTTCTAGACTGGTTCCTTAACCACTAGACCTAACTGGTTTTGTCCCCAGGGTGTTAACCAAGTCAGTCCGTTGTACTTTGTAAGCAGCGTCTGAGCGAGTTTTTCCTCCTGGAATTATGTGATAGCTACTCACCAGATCAGGGTACCCCAGCAGTGTGGGTAACCCCACCACCACTTCGTCACTTTCTGTGGTCTGAGCTTCACTCGTCTCTTGCTCTTCTCCATCTGGGAGGTAAGAAGGGAGAAAATAATTGCAACACCTGTTGAGTAAAGTGATGAGGTCCAATAGTGGGGAAAGTAGTATTGCTAATACACATCCAATCTAGACTCGTTTCTTTTCGTGTCTGAAAAACTAGGGCCCTGTTCTTAGTTCCCTTTAAATCGACCTGCAAGATGAGATCCCATCATCAGTGTTGAAATGAGCCCGCCACTATTTAATAGTAATAATAAAGTTGGAAGGGACCTTGGAGGTCATTTAGTCCAACCCCCTGCTCAGGCAGGAAACTCTACACCATTTCGGACAGATGGCTGTCCAGTCTCCTCTTAAAAACTTCCAGTGTTGGAGCATTCACCGCTTCTGGAGGCAGGTTGTTCCATTGGTTAATTGTTCTAACTGTCAGGAAGTTTCTCCTTAGTTCTAGGTTGCTTCTCTCCTTGATTAGTTTCCATCCGTTGCTTCTTGTCCTGCCTTCAGGCGCTTTGGAGAATAGCTTGACTCCCTCTTCTTTGTGGCAGCCCCTGAGATATTAGGACACTGCTATCATGTCCCCCCCCCCGTCCTTCTCTTCATTAAACTAGACATACCCAATTCCAGCAACCGTTCCTCATGTTTTAGCCTCCAGTCCCCTAATCTTCTTTGTTGCTCTTCTCTGTACTCTTTCTAGAGTCTCAACTTCTTTTTTACATTGTTTCATTACCCAACTAGGTAACCTCATCAGTACTAGAAGGGAGTGGGGTTTGCTCTCTATTTATATACTATTGGCTTGCCCAGTCAGTGTTGGTGGGAGTGTAGTGTTCTTCTTGGTAGTTCCTTGGCTGTTGTTTACTGTTTGATTGCTTGTCTGAGATGATCGCTTTCCAGCAACGAAATGTGAAAAGGTGCAGGCAGACACACTAAGCCTAGAGATTGTGAGCTACCCATCTCTGGTCTTTTATAGCAACCATGCCAGTTGTGGTTTAATGAACAAAATAGGCTTTCACACAACCTGAACACTCAGCCATGACACCAGTGAAGTGATGGTTTCCCAGAAGTAAGAGTAAGGGAGTTCGTTAGTCCTCCTATGGCACTGGTGGCGAACCCATGGCATGCATGCCAGAGGTGGCACTCAGAGCCCTCTCTGTTGGCACGCGTGCCATGCCCCGGAGATGGCAACTGTCCCTCTTCAACCAGCCACCCGCTAACTCGCCGAGGTCCCACATGGCCAGATGCATCCCAGCATGATTGGTTTCCCTCCCCCCCATCCCTCCTGGCGTTGCATGTTCTCCTTTTCCCGGGCACGACCCACTGCATCGCCTCCTCAGCTGTCGGCTGGCCACCCAGCTCAGAGGCAGCTTCTCTGAACTGCTGGCGGCAGGCTACACAGCCCAAGAGTGTGCCGGTCGAGGGGCCGGCAGGCTGTGGCTGCTGACGGACACCGTCGGCCCCCATGCACTCACTGGTCTCTGTGTGCGGGGACCGATGGTGTCAGACAGCATCCATCCCGGCCCTTGCTTCACCTTGCCTCGCCTCACTCCACAGGATGAGTCTCCTGCCCACCATCCCACCTGCCAGAGACCCCTTGGATCTCTCCCAACCCGCCCGGTCCCCACAGGCATCCCTCCCCATGAGCAACATCGAGATGACCACGCCCACCTTGGCCATACCCACCCAGTCTACCATGACCACCCCAGCCATGCCCACCCAGTGCGCCACGCCTACCTGGCACCCGGCGATAAATAAGTGGGTTTGGGGTTGCAGTTTGGGCACTCGGTCTCTAAAAGGTTCGCCATCACTGTGCTATGGCATGGAACAATTTAACAAAATCTGCAGGTAGTCGACGTACGACCACAGTCAGGTTGAAAAGTTCCATTGCTAAGCAAGACAATTAAGTGATTCCCCCCACCCCCATTTCACGGTCTTTCTTGCCTCAGTTGTTAAGTGTATCAAATTCAACATCTGGGACCCAATGTTTCTCAGCCTTAGCAACTCTAAAAGGGTGGACTTCAAGTCCCAGAATTCTTCAGCCAGCGTGATGACTGGAGAATTCTGGGAGTTGGAAGTCCACACATCTTAAGAGTTGCTAAGGCTGAGAAACACTGGTCTAGGTTTGTCTTTCACCAACATTAGGAGTTGTAACAGTATACCAGTGTCCTTCGGTACAGACTCTAGAATCGATTCATCCTCCAGTTCTTGGGTTTTTGCCATCCTTGTCTCTTCGACATTCAGTGCTGCTTCTTCCTCCTCTGTCCTCTGTTCCAGCTCCATCTGCCCAGATATAAAACCCAGTTTGCTCACAAAATGGACTTTAGGACAATAATGGGTGCCAGATAAGCAAATATGCGCTGGTATGTTTCAATTAGATGTTATTATGTTTTTAAAAATTAAGCTTCTCTTGTCATGGTTCAGAGAAACTGAAGCTGATTGTACATCATATGTGGCAAAATCTTATCTAATAATACAGAAAGCAGAACCAAGGTAGCACTTTCTGGAATCCTGGGAATGTTTAGATTTCAAAAAAATAAAGAAAAGCACATGTTTCTAGTCCTGCATGGTGTGTAGGACAGGAGGAACACAAACTTGTTTCTTCAAAAGGTAGGCTTAAAGACTTCTCAGTTACATGCTTAATTGACAGACCAATATGGAATCTGTTGGTTTTGGAGTAGTGATGAATAAGATCTGTTTGGAGAGATCCAAGTCCATTATAGCTTAGTTAGGTTATAAAAGATCATAGTTACATCATGGCTTACTGCAGTGCACAAATCCGGATAATTATAATTACAATTCATATCTAAGCTTCCTGCAACTACAACTGTATTGGGAATGTTTTCCATGAATCTATTAAATTAAAGCATCTCCGATTCGCAACTGTTTCCCATCTTTCCTGTTTAACATTTCTCAATTGCTGGGGAAGAAAACTGACTTTTTATGCTTTAATGAGAATTTAGCAAAGGTTTTTGTCCTCTTTTTCTACTTTTGATTTGCAAACATTTCCTAACTTCATTCTCTGCCACTTCTTTTGCCACAACTTTCATGCCTAAAGTGGGACTAGAACTCCCAATCTCCTGGCCATTGGCCCAAAGTCACCCAGCCAGCTTTCATGTCAAAGGTGGGACTAGAATTCCCAGTCTCCTGGCCATTGGCCCAAAGTCACCAGTCAGCTTTCCTGCCTAAGGTGGGACTAGAACTCCCAATCTCCTGTCCATTGGCCCAAAGTCACCCAGCCAACTTTCATGTCTAAAACAGAACTAGAACTCCCAATCTCCTAGTCATTGGCCCAAAGTCACTCAGCCAGCTTTCCTGCCTAAGGCAGGACTAGAACTCCCAATCTCCTGGCCATTGGCCCAAAGTCACCCAGTCAGCTTTCCTGCCTAAGGTGGGACTAGAACTCCCAATCTCCTGGTCATTGGCCCAGGGCCACCCAGTCAGCTTTCCTGCCTAAGGTGGGACTAGAACTCCCAATCTCCTGGTCATTGGCCCAGGGCCACCCAGTCAGCTTTCATGTCGAAGGTAAGACTAGAATTCCCAGTCTCCTGGCCACTGGCCCAAAGTCACCAGTCAGCTTTCCTGCCTAAGGTGGGACTAGAAGTCCCAATCTCCTGGCCATTGGCCCAAAGTCACCCAGTCAGCTTTCCTGCCTAAGGTGGGACTAGAATTCCCAATCTCCTGGTTATTGGCCCAAAGACACCCAGCCAACTTTCATGCCTAAGGCGGGACCAGAAGTCCCAATCTCCTGGCCATTGGCCCAAAGTCACCGAGCCAGCTTTCATGCCTAAGGTGGGATTAGAACTCCCAGTCTCCTGTTCATTGGCCCAAAGTCACCCAGTCAGCTTTCATGTCGAAGGTAGGACTAGAATTCCCAGTCTCCTGGCCATTGGTCCAAAGTCACCCAGTCAGCTTTCCTGCCTAAGGTGGGACTAGAACTCCCAATCTCCTGGTCATTGGCCCAAAGTCACCCAGCCAACTTTCATGCCTAAGGCGAGAGCAGAAGTCCCAATCTCCTGGCCATTGGCCCAAAGTCACCCAGTCAGCTTTCATGTCGAAGGTAGGACTAGAATTCCCAGTCTCCTGGCCATTGGTCCAAAATCACCAGTCAGTTTTCCTGCCTAAGGTGGCACTAGAACTCCCAATCTCCTGGTCATTGACCCAAAGTCACCCAGCCAACTTTCATGCCTAAGGCGGGACCAGAAGTCCCAATCTCCTGGCCATTGGCCCAAAGTCACCCAGCCAGCTTTCATGCCTAAGGTGGGATTAGAACTCCCAGTCTCCTGTTCATTGGCCCAAAGTCACCCAGTCAGCTTTCATGTCGAAGGTAGGACTAGAATTCCCAGTCTCCTGGCCATTGGTCCAAAGTCACCCAGTCAGCTTTCCTGCCTAAGGTGGGACTAGAACTCCCAATCTCCTGGCCATTGGCCCAAAGTCACTCAGCCAGCTTTCCTGCCTAAGGCGGGACCAGAAGTCCCAATCTCCTGGTCATTGGCCCAAAGTCACCCAGCCAGCTTTCATGCCTAAGATGGGATTAGAACTCCCAGTCTCCTGTTCATTGGCCCAAAGTCACCCAGTCAGCTTTCATGTCGAAGGTAGGACTAGAATTCCCAGTCTCCTGGCCATTGGCCCAAAGTCACCCAGTCAGCTTTCCTGCCTAAGGTGGGACTAGAACTCCCAATCTCCTGGCCATTGGCCCAAAGTCACTCAGCCAGCTTTCCTGCCTAAGGCGGGACTAGAACTCCCAATCTCCTGGTCATTGGCCCAAAGTCACCCAGCCAGCTTTCATGCCTAAGGTGGGATTAGAACTCCCAGTCTCCTGTTCATTGGCCCAAAGTCACCCAGTCAGCTTTCATGTCGAAGGTAGGACTAGAATTCCCAGTCTCCTGGCCATTGGTCCAAAGTCACCCAGTCAGTTTTCCTGCCTAAGGTGGGACTAGAACTCCCAATCTCCTAGTCATTGGCCCAAAGTCACCCAGCCAACTTTCATGCCTAAGGCGGGACCAGAAGTCCCAATCTCCTGGCCATTGGCCCAAAGTCACCCAGCCAGCTTTCATGCCTAAGGTGGGATTAGAACTCCCAGTCTCCTGTTCATTGGCCCAAAGTCACCCAGTCAGCTTTCATGTCGAAGGTAGGACTAGAATTCCCAGTCTCCTGGCCATTGGCCCAAAGTCACCCAGTCAGCTTTCATGCCTAAGGCTGGACTAGAACTCCCAATCTCCTGGCCATTGGCCCAAAGTCACTCAGCCAGCTTTCCTGCCTAAGGCGGGACTAGAAGTCCCAATCTCCTGGCCATTGGCCCAAAGTCACCCAGTCAGCTTTCACGTCGAAGGTAGGACTAGAATTCCCAGTCTCCTGGCCATTGGCCCAAAATCACCAGTCAGTTTTCCTGCCTAAGGTGGCACTAGAACTCCCAATCTCCTAGTCATTGGCCCAAAGTCACCCAGCCAACTTTCATGCCTAAGGCGGGACCAGAAGTCCCAATCTCCTGGCCATTGGCCCAAAGTCACCCAGTCAGCTTTCATGCCTAAGGTGGGATTAGAACTCCCAGTCTCCTGTTCATTGGCCCAAAGTCACCCAGTCAGCTTTCATGTCGAAGGTAGGACTAGAATTCCCAGTCTCCTGGCCATTGGCCAAAGTCACCCAGTCAGCTTTCCTGCCTAAGGTGGGACTAGAACTCCCAATCTCCTGGCCATTGGCCCAAAGTCACTCAGCCAGCTTTCCTGCCTAAGGCGGGACCAGAAGTCCCAATCTCCTGGTCATTGGCCCAAAGTCACCCAGCCAGCTTTCATGCCTAAGGTGGGATTAGAACTCCCAGTCTCCTGTTCATTGGCCCAAAGTCACCCAGTCAGCTTTCATGTCGAAGGTAGGACTAGAATTCCCAGTCTCCTGGCCATTGGTCCAAAGTCACCCAGTCAGTTTTCCTGCCTAAGGTGGGACTAGAACTCCCAATCTCCTCGTCATTGGCCCAAAGTCACCCAGCCAACTTTCATGCCTAAGGCGGGACCAGAAGTCCCAATCTCCTGGCCATTGGCCCAAAGTCACTCAGCCAGCTTTCCTGCCTAAGGCGGGACTAGAAGTCCCAATCTCCTGGCCATTGGCCCAAAGTCACCCAGTCAGCTTTCACGTCGAAGGTAGGACTAGAATTCCCAGTCTCCTGGCCATTGGCCCAAAATCACCAGTCAGTTTTCCTGCCTAAGGTGGCACTAGAACTCCCAATCTCCTAGTCATTGGCCCAAAGTCACCCAGCCAACTTTCATGCCTAAGGCGGGACCAGAAGTCCCAATCTCCTGGCCATTGGCCCAAAGTCACCCAGTCAGCTTTCATGCCTAAGGTGGGATTAGAACTCCCAGTCTCCTGTTCATTGGCCCAAAGTCACCCAGTCAGCTTTCATGTCGAAGGTAGGACTAGAATTCCCAGTCTCCTGGCCATTGGCCCAAAGTCACCCAGTCAGCTTTCCTGCCTAAGGTGGGACTAGAACTCCCAATCTCCTGGCCATTGGCCCAAAGTCACTCAGCCAGCTTTCCTGCCTAAGGCGGGACTAGAACTCCCAATCTCCTGGTCATTGGCCCAAAGTCACCCAGCCAGCTTTCATGCCTAAGGTGGGATTAGAACTCCCAGTCTCCTGTTCATTGGCCCAAAGTCACCCAGTCAGCTTTCATGTCGAAGGTAGGACTAGAATTCCCAGTCTCCTGGCCATTGGCCCAAAGTCACCCAGTCAGCTTTCCTGCCTAAGGTGGGACTAGAACTCCCAATCTCCGGGCCATTGGCCCAAAGTCACTCAGCCAGCTTTCCTGCCTAAGGCGGGACCAGAAGTCCCAATCTCCTGGTCATTGGCCCAAAGTCACCCAGCCAGCTTTCATGCCTAAGATGGGATTAGAACTCCCAGTCTCCTGTTCATTGGCCCAAAGTCACCCAGTCAGCTTTCATGTCGAAGGTAGGACTAGAATTCCCAGTCTCCTGGCCATTGGTCCAAAGTCACCCAGTCAGTTTTCCTGCCTAAGGTGGCACTAGAACTCCCAATCTCCTAGTCATTGGCCCAAAGTCACCCAGCCAACTTTCATGCCTAAGGCGGGACCAGAAGTCCCAATCTCCTGGCCATTGGCCCAAAGTCACCCAGTCAGCTTTCATGCCTAAGGTGGGATTAGAACTCCCAGTCTCCTGTTCATTGGCCCAAAGTCACCCAGTCAGCTTTCATGTCGAAGGTAGGACTAGAATTCCCAGTCTCCTGGCCATTGGCCCAAAGTCACCCAGTCAGCTTTCATGCCTAAGGCTGGACTAGAACTCCCAATCTCCTGGCCATTGGCCCAAAGTCACTCAGCCAGCTTTCCTGCCTAAGGCGGGACTAGAAGTCCCAATCTCCTGGCCATTGGCCCAAAGTCACCCAGTCAGCTTTCACGTCGAAGGTAGGACTAGAATTCCCAGTCTCCTGGCCATTGGCCCAAAATCACCAGTCAGTTTTCCTGCCTAAGGTGGCACTAGAACTCCCAATCTCCTAGTCATTGGCCCAAAGTCACCCCGCCAACTTTCATGCCTAAGGCGGGACCAGAAGTCCCAATCTCCTGGCCATTGGCCCAAAGTCACCGAGCCAGCTTTCATGCCTAAGGTGGGATTAGAACTCCCAGTCTCCTGTTCATTGGCCCAAAGTCACCCAGTCAGCTTTCATGTCGAAGGTAGGACTAGAATTCCCAGTCTCCTGGCCATTGGCCCAAAGTCACCCAGTCAGCTTTCATGCCTAAGGCTGGACTAGAACTCCCAATCTCCTGGCCATTGGCCCAAAGGTCCACTTCAGACAGCTTTCCTGCCTAAGGCGTGACTATGTAACTCCCAATCTCCTGTCCATTGGGCCCAAAGTCACCCACCCAGCTTTCATGCCTAAGTGGGATTATACTCCCAGTCTCCTGTTCATTGCCCAAAGTCACCCCGTCATGTTCCATTGAATAGATCACGAGGCAATTCCCACAACTGTCAGCTTTCATGTCGAAGGTAGGACTAGAATTCCCAGTCTCCTGGCCATTGGCCCAAAATCACCAGTCAGTTTTCCTGCCTAAGGTGGCACTAGAACTCCCAATCTCCTAGTCATTGGTTTTCCTGCCTAAGGTGGCACTAGAACTCCCAATCTCCTGGTCATTGACCCAAAGTCACCCAGCCAACTTTCATGCCTAAGGCGGGACCAGAAGTCCCAATCTCCTGGCCATTGGCCCAAAGTCACCCAGCCAGCTTTCATGCCTAAGGTGGGATTAGAACTCCCAGTCTCCTGTTCATTGGCCCAAAGTCACCCAGTCAGCTTTCAGGTCGAAGGTAGGACTAGAATTCCCAGTCTCCTGGCCATTGTCCCAAAGTCACCCAGTCACTTTCATGCCTAAGGCTTGACCCAGTCAGCAGCTTTCATGCCTAAGGTGGGACTAGAACTCCCAATCTCCTGGCATTGGCCCAAAGTCACCCAGTCAGCTTTCATGTCGAAGGTAGGACTAGAATTCCCAGTCTCCTGGCCATTGGCCCAAAATCACCAGTCAGTTTTCCTGCCTAAGGTGGCACTAGAACTCCCAATCTCCTAGTCATTGGCCCAAAGTCACCCAGCCAACTTTCATGCCTAAGGCGGGACCAGAAGTCCCAATCTCCTGGCCATTGGCCCAAAGTCACCCAGCCAGCTTTCATGCCTAAGGTGGGATTAGAACTCCCAGTCTCCTGTTCATTGGCCCAAAGTCACCCAGTCAGCTTTCATGTCGAAGGTAGGACTAGAATTCCCAGTCTCCTGGCCATTGGCCCAAAGTCACCCAGTCAGCTTTCATGCCTAAGGCTGGACTAGAACTCCCAATCTCCTGGCCATTGGCCCAAAGTCACTCAGCCAGCTTTCCTGCCTAAGGCGGGACTAGAAGTCCCAATCTCCTGGCCATTGGCCCAAAGTCACCCAGTCAGCTTTCACGTCGAAGGTAGGACTAGAATTCCCAGTCTCCTGGCCATTGGCCCAAAATCACCAGTCAGTTTTCCTGCCTAAGGTGGCACTAGAACTCCCAATCTCCTAGTCATTGGCCCAAAGTCACCCAGCCAACTTTCATGCCTAAGGCGGGACCAGAAGTCCCAATCTCCTGGCCATTGGCCCAAAGTCACCCAGTCAGCTTTCATGCCTAAGGTGGGATTAGAACTCCCAGTCTCCTGTTCATTGGCCCAAAGTCACCCAGTCAGCTTTCATGTCGAAGGTAGGACTAGAATTCCCAGTCTCCTGGCCATTGGCCCAAAGTCACCCAGTCAGCTTTCATGCCTAAGGCTGGACTAGAACTCCCAATCTCCTGGCCATTGGCCCAAAGTCACTCAGCCAGCTTTCCTGCCTAAGGCGGGACTAGAAGTCCCAATCTCCTGGCCATTGGCCCAAAGTCACCCAGTCAGCTTTCACGTCGAAGGTAGGACTAGAATTCCCAGTCTCCTGGCCATTGGCCCAAACTCACCAGTCAGTTTTCCTGCCTAAGGTGGCACTAGAACTCCCAATCTCCTAGTCATTGGCCCAAAGTCACCCAGCCAGCTTTCATGCCTAAGGTGGGATTAGAACTCCCAGTCTCCTGTTCATTGGCCCAAAATTACCCAGTCAGCTTTCATGCCTAAGGTGGAACCAAAATTCCCAGTCTGCTAGTGATTGGCGCAAACTCACCCAGCCAGTTTTCATGCCTAAGGCAGGACTAGAACTTGGGATTCCTGGCTTCTAGCCTGGTGCTTTAACTACTATACCGACTGGCTCTTTTATCCCTTACCTTGGGGAGAGTTTTGCCCACTTTCTCCTTTGTCCTTCTTCTCTTGAGTTCTCGTGTTGGAATCACTTGGGCCGAAAGAAGCTCCAGCTCATTTTTGACCTTTCTGCTTTTCCGAAGGTGTTTTTCAGTCACCTGTAAGGGAGATTTCAGAGGATAAGACAGCTAAAAAAACAGTCCTTGCAATCAAAATGAATCCTCGGCATTGGCGGGTGATTAATTTTTTTTATCCAGTCTTGGACAGACTTTCCAAAATGATTTATGACATTAGAAACGTGTTCCTAAAACTATGAACATCTTACAAATCTTTGCTTTACAACAGTGGTTCTCAACCTTTTTAATGTCGCGACCCCCAACCAGTCGTAAGTCGAGGACTACTCAACCAGTTGTAAGTCGAGGACTACTCAACTGGTGCAGCACCGTTTGCAGACTGGGACTTTTGGCGGGCTCAGCAGGGCAGAGACAGCCTGGACAATTCCTATTGGCTTTTGAAAGCCAATAGAATTATACTCTATTCAAGAGAGTCTATTCTATTGGCTTTCAAAAGCCAATAGAATAAAAGGGAGTAGCACAGCTAAGGAAAAGGGGAAAAAATGGTGGACTGCGTTGTTTGGCGACCCCCGTGAAATGGTCGTTCGACCCCAAATGGGGTCCCGACCCACAGGTTGAGAACCACTGCTTTGCAACCTTGAGAAGGTGTTGGTGGAAATAACAAGAATAAAACTGTAGAAAGGGCACGATTCCAAAGTGACGTGATTCTTAGAATAAAATCTAAATCTAAATACAAAAATGCCTGGAAGTTAAGGAATGACTTAGCTTGCAACTGAAAATATGTTGGTGAATGGACCAGAGAAATGTACAGGTGGTCCTCAAGTTACAACGACAATCTGGATCAGAGTTTCATTGCCAATCAAGGTGATTGTCGAATGAGTTGTGTCCAGTGTTATGGCTTTTCTGGTCACCGTCATTAATCGAATCACTACAAGTTGTTAAGTGGATCATGCAGTCATTCAGTGAATCCAGCTTTTTCCCCATTGACTTTGTCAGAAGCCGGCTGGAAAACTTGCAAATGCACATAACCCCAGAATGCTGCAATTGTCATAAATCCAAGCTGGTTGCCACATTTTGATCACATGCCTGTTTCATACGTGTGAGGACTGATCATACGTGTGAGGACTGGAAGTTTTTAAGAAGAGACTGGACAGCCATTTGTCCAAAATGGTATAGGGTTTCCTGCCTGAGCAGGGGATTGGACTAGATGACCTCCAAGGTCCCTTCCAACTTTGTCATTATTATTATTAAATGGTGAAGCCTAGGGCTTCCAACTTTATTATTATTATTATCATTATTCTTGTTGTTGTTTACTTATTTCAGTGCTGTTGTGACGTTGGGCTGATATTAAACGAATAGTTATAAATCGAGGATGACCTGTACTGAGGGGGCATTTTGCAAGTGGAGCCTTCACTGACAACAAGAAGACTCTTAATCGTGCGAACTCAGAATCCCAGAAAAATTGCTCTTTTACTTAAGAAAATCTTCTGAGCCTACGTTTTAGTTCTTAATGCAGTGGTTCTCAACCTTTTTAATGCCACGACCCCCAACCGGTCGTAAGTCGAGGACTACTCAACCGGTCGTAAGTCGAGGACTACTCAACCGGTCGTAAGTCGAGGACAACTCAACTGGTGCAGCACCGTTTGCAGAATGGGACTTTTGGCGGGCTCAGCAGGGCAGAGACAGCCTGGACAATTCCTACTGGCTTTTGAAAGCCAATAGAATTAGACTCTATTCAAGAGAGTCTATTCTACTGGCTTTCCAAAGCCAATAGAATAAAAGGGAGGAGCACAGCTAAGGAAAAGAGGGGAAAAAATGGCGGACTGCGTTGTTTGGCGACCCCCGTGAAATGGACGTTCAACCCCAAATGGGGTCCCGACCCACAGGTTGAGAACCACTGTCTTAATGCAACATTTTTTTTTCACTTTTCCGTGGGTCACTACCACTAATGTGGAATAATGAACAATCACTAGAATAATGATGTGCCTGCATAATTACTGGAATAGTGCTGTGTTAGTAGTATGTGACTAACCTAATGCGCATTGCACTCGGATACAATGTATGTTGCAAACTCTCCATTGTATCCCCGTGAGAAACGAACCTAATGTATTACAATGTATATTTCAATGTGTGTTCCTTTGTTCCCGAGAAAAAGAAAGTATAAAACTGAAGTCTGAACCCACCCTCGGGGTTCAGAATCGCTGTTGCTATAGCTTCTGAACCTGCGCAATAAATCTCTCTGCTAAAACCCTCTGGAATTCGTAAGAGTCCTCTCGTTTTCCACAAGACCACCACTGGGGTGAATTCTCCACTCTGCGAGCTTCCATACCTGTCTTTGCAACAGGTTTTGCTCATACGCAATCTGCATCTTCAAGGAACGTGCCTGGATGGCCTGATAGCTAACATCTTCAGGAGCAAAATAAAGGACCTTCCATTCTAGGCTGAGGTGGATGGAGCCATTGGGCTTCCCTGCAGGGTCCATGAGGTCAAAGTCTCCTGGAGACAGGGGAGAAGGGGAAAAAATTCAGCATCTGGAACAACATCTGGCTGAAGACATTCTAGTTTTGGATAGAAAAATGCGGGTTAGACAGCATCACCACCAGATGGATCCGTAGCTGGCTGACCGGCCGTACTCAGCGTGTGGTCCTCAATGGAACCGCATCTACAGGGAGGGAAGTGTGTAGTGGGGTGCCCCAGGGCTCTGTTCTAGGCCCAGTGCTCTTCAACATCTTCATCAACGATCTGGACGAGGGGATAGATGGAGAACTCATCAAATTTGTGGATGACACCAAGCTGGCAGGAATAGCCAACACTCCAGAAGACAAGCTTAGATACAGAAAGATCTGGACAGGCTTGAACACTGGGTGCTATCTAACAAAATGAAATTCAATGGTGAAAAAAGCAAGGTTCTACATTTAGGCAAGAAAAACCAAATGCACAGGTATAGTATAGGGGGTGCCATGCTCAATAGTAGTAACTGTGAGAGGGATCTCGGAGTCCTAGTGGACAATCATTTAAATATGAGCCAGCAGTGTGCTGCAGCTGCCAAAAAGCCAACACAGTGCTAGGCTGCATTAACAGAGGGATAGAATCAAGATCACGTGAAGTATTAATACCACTCTTCAATGCCTTGGTAAGGCCACACTTGGAATACTGCATCCAGTTTTGGTCACCACGATGTAAAAAAGATTTTGAGACTCTAGAAAGAGTACAGAGAAGAGCAACAAAGATGATTAGGGGACTGGAGGCTAAAACATATAAGGAAAAGTTGCTGGAATTGGGTAGGTCTAGTTCACAGGTTGGCAACCTGCGGCTCCGGAGCTGCATGCGGCTCTTTGAGCCTTCCCCTGTGGCTCCCAGCCTCCTCTGCCTTTGCAGAGAGAGAGAGACAGAGAGAGGCAATTGCGCTTCCCTGCTTCAATCTCTCTGTGTGTGTGTGTGTGTGTGTTTGTGTTTTTTTTTGTGTGTGTGTGTATGTATGTGTAAAAGAGAGTGTACTCACATGTTCTCCGAGGAGCTGAAAAGCTTACTGGGCGAAGCTCCTCCCTTTGCTGCGTCTCTGCAGGAAGCAGGAAGCAGGAAGGGCAGGAGAGAGCTAGCTAGCCCAGCTAGGCTGACTCAGGAATTCTGGGAGTTGAAGTCCATGAGTCATAAAAGAGACGAAGTTGCTTACCCTGAGCTTGTTGGACAACAGCTTGAAGCTTGCAGGTGAGCAGCAGATAGGAGAGAGAGAGAGAAAGAGAGAGAGGGAGGGAGAGAGAGAGAGAGAGAGAGAGAGGAAAGAGAGAGAGAGAAAGAAAGAGAGTGGGGGAAGAGGAGTGGTAGACCAAGGGCAGATAGAGAGGGAGGGAGAGAGACAGAGAGAGAGAGAGACCCTTTTGACATCTAAAATGAAGATAACACTGCATATATCCTTTTTTTAACCCCCCTCTCTCTCTCTCTCTCTCTCTCTCTCTCTCTCTCTCTCTCTCTGTGTGTGTGTGTGTGTGTGTGTGTGTATTTGTTTTTTGCGTGGATGTGTGGTGGTGACCCAAAGCCACACCGATGACGAGGCACGACCACAAACCAGAAGCCAGACCACAGCTGCATCATTAGCCACTTTAAACCCCTCCAATCCATACATGAAGCAAACTGACACCCTCCATGGAGAGGAGGCACAACCACGAACGCAAAGCCAAAAAATAACAAGGCAGCCCAAAATCTCAAACCCCTCTGCAACTCAGACTAACCTGAGCACAACCAAACAGAACACTCCCCCAGCCAATCAGAGCACAGCCAAGCCCCTAACCATTCAGAACACACCTCCACCAATCAGAACACAGCCAAGCTCCCACCCAATCAGTTCATACCCCCACTGGCAGTTAAAAGGAAGAAACAGCTAAGACCACACATTGCTGCTCAAAGCACGAAGCTGAAAACACCAGCCTGAAGATGACGAATGGGACTTCGTTGAAACGTCGCCAAGACACTTCCAATTTTACGCGGGAGAAAACCCGAACAACCAAAGACCTACATACAAATACCTGCGAAAACCTCAGAAAACATATATATATATATATATATATATATATATATATATATATATATATATATATATATATATATGCTTGAGAAGTTTAAAAACATGAACCCTGGGAGTATTCATGATAAGAAATAAATTGAGCACCAGGGTAATATTAAAAACTATAAAAGATTTAATTAAAAAAGCGCCAAGCTTTCGCCGTCACCTGCCGGCATCCTCAGGGCTGGTGCGCCAGGAAGTGAGAGTCTCTTTATAGGTATGTCATTGCCTGCGCGCGGCTCCTCGACCTCGTCATCGGGGCTAGTTGGTCCAATTGCCTAGGGCTGATTTGTTTTTTTTCTGTTCCTTTCAATTACGTGTTTCTCCTCATCCATTTTTTTGCCTTCTTTCAACTCCGGGGTAGTTAGGTGAGGGTCTCTATTACTTCGATGCTTCCTATATTGTGGCTCTTCCTTGGGGTTGGATGGTAATGCGTGTTTCATGCTCTTTTCACAATTATCCCTTATCCAATTGTCCTTTTGGTGATTTTCCCGTTTGATTTTATTGTTTTTACTTTTTACATTGCTCTCATCTGGGTGGACCTGTGAGTTGTTCCGAGTTAAATATGATCTGGTAACAGTCCGGGGTCGGGTAATAGGTTGTTTTGTTGTAGGGGGGGGGCAGTTTCTTGGTTGTCATTATATCCAGCTGTTTTGCGCGCGTCCTACTGCGGGTAATTGGTCCGGGGGGGTCGTTGGTGAGATCGCATTCATCCTGGTGACCGCAATGCTTCTTCTCCGCTTCCCTTTTCTTCTTTACGCTGTTAATGTCTATATGTACGTCAGGGAGGGCTTCGGGATTCACGGCTGTGGGGCGCGATGGTCCGTTCCTTTGCTCCTCGTCAGTCTCGCCAATCCCGTTCTTCCCGCTGATCTCCTCCCCCTGCCTCTCCCTTCGTTTCAATTTGCTCTTTTCCCTTTCCTTTTCCCCACTGACGTTCACAGGTCTATCGTTATTTACATTTTGTAAAACCTCCCCTCCCACTTCAGTTGTTCTGGTCGAGTGGGGAGGTCTCACTTTCCTCTCGGGATCAGTCACTGCATTCCTTTCTATGTGCGAGTATCTTGTCCCATTCTGGGACTCCTCCCCACTTTCATTGATCGTATCCTCTTTTACATTCATCCCGGTGCCTGTGCCTACGTCACGGGGGTCTTCGGGATTCACAGCTGTAGGGCGCGATGGTTTGATCCTTTGCGTCTCCTCAATCCCGTAGGTTTCATCCTTCTCGTGCGTTTCTCCCCCCTGCTTCCCCTTCCATGTCGGTTTGTACAGCGCCAGCCGAACGGATGTCTGACTACCAAGGTATACCGAAAACCAACATGTACAGACAGGATTCTCCACTTTGAGAGTAATCACCCGATGACCCATAAAGTCAGCTGTGTTAGAACCCTCTTTAAACGTGTGGAGACACACTGCAGCACTGCCAAAGCCAGGAGGGAAGAGAGGAAGTACCTCTTCCAAGTGTGCAAACACAATGGATACCCGGCCACTTTACCACTTTACAATGCCTTGGTAAGGCCATACTTGGAATACTGCATCCAATTTTGGTCACCGCAATGTAAAAAAGATGCTGAGACTCTAGAAAGAGTACAGAGAAGAGCAACAAAGATGATTAGGGGACTGGAGGCTAAGCATATAAGGAAAGGCTGCTGGAATTGGGTATGTCTAGTCTAATGACAAGAAGGATGAGGGGGGACATGATAGCAGTGTTCCAATATCTCAGGGGCTGCCACAAAGAAGAGGGAATCAAGCTATTCTCCAAAGTGCCTGAAGGCAGGACAAGAAGCAACGGATGGAAACTAATCAAGGAGAGAAGCAACCTAGAACTAAGGAGAAACTTGCTGACAGTTAGAACAATTAACCAGTGGAACAACCTGCCTCCAGAAGCGGTGAATGCTCCAACACTGGAAGTTTTTAAGAAGAGACTGGACAGCCATTTGTCCAAAATGGTGTAGAGTTTCCTGCCTGAGCAGGGGGTTGGACTCAATGACCTCCAAGGTCCCTTCCAACTTTATAATTATTATTGTTAAATGGTGAAGCCTAGGGCATCCTAAACTTGCACTGAATTAGCTTGAAGTATAATCTGTACTCCATTTCAAAGGATCAAGCATGGCTTTCTGGAGCCTTCCAGTGAAGGTATGGAAACCTCCAACACAAAGAGGTCCTTGTGAGGAGGTGGGGGCTGATATAAGATTTCCTCTACGAGAGGGGTTCTCAACCTTGGCAACTTTAAGACTTGTGGACTTCAACTTCAGCTTTGCTGGCTGAGGAGTTCTGGGAGTTGAAGTCCGCAAGTCTTAAAGTTGCCAAGGTGGAGAACCCCTGCTCTACGATATTACTACAGTGGTTGATCTGGAGGCTTTGAAAGAACCCTCAGAGCTTCAATGAGGTCAGTTGACTTATGCCTTTAGACAAGACTGTGAAGGGATTTAGAGATAATCTTGGAAGAAGAGCCCAAGAAGATGCTATGAAAGAATCCAAGAAGAAGATATGGAAGAACCCTTAAGAGGGACTTGCATAGAAGATTACAGTCTTAAGAAAAAGGGAGTGTGGGAAACAAACTCAAAATAACCTGCCTTGATTTTGTCGAGTGTAAGATAGGACAGAGCAAGCCTTGACAGGTTTTCAAGAACCCGTTACTTAACCCAAGACAATTCCTGGAAGCCTTGCACTGTCTGTCTCTCGATCACACCTAGAAGAGCTGAAATCAATAATGAAGCCTATCCAAGCTTCTCTGTGTCCTGTTTATACTAAATAAAATCAAGACAGATTATCTTTGAATCTCTTTCTCACCCTTCGTTCAGTCTCTGGACTAACTGATTGCTTCTCAACCTCTCTCTTCAACAGCTCTTGTGTTCTTTCTCTAAGATCATTTCTAAATTCCTTTACAAAGACTCAGAAAGTCTCTCGACTTGGTAAAAAGAGGCTTAGGGTTTCTTTCAGTCTCGGCTTAAAAGATTTGGGTGTTCTGCATCCAAAGGTCAGTCATCCAATTGAGAGGAAGGGCTGGAGGCCTTAAAAGGAAAACCAGGGACCAGCAGTTGTCCACTGGTTGAACCATACACTCTCTAACTCTCCCCTCTGTGTTGTTATACTGTCCTTCCCATCCTTTTCCTGGCCGATATGGCTGTGGTTCATAGCTTATCTGGAATCCCCCTGCAAATTTTGCCGCTGGTCGTTGCCAACTACGTAGGGCAGTACTCTTCTCCGTTTCAAGGCCATTAGCCAGCAATGTCCAAACACATTTCCACGGTCATGTAGTCAACCTGACTACATATCAAAGACACACTGAATGCTATTATCTTTCCACTGTGGTGGTACCTATTTATCTACTCACATTTACATACTTATGAACTGCTAGGTTGGCAGGAGTTGGGGCGAGGACAAGAGCTCACCCCGTCACTCGATGCTCAGGTCTCAAACCTGGGCTGCTGGCTTTCCAGCCGACAAGCCCAGCGTCTTAACCACTGAGCCACCGCACCACCCCAACCTACCTGGAGAGCTTCCAAATTGTGAACTATTGTCCTAGATCCAGAAGGGTCTAGCACAGAAGACAGCTCAAGAAAGCAAGGCTAGATCTATCTAGTATCCTTTGTTGCTCTCACCTTTGATGCTATGCCCATGCGCTAATGATACTAGTGGGATCTGGGCTTTGCCCAAATAACTTCCAGGTTCCCCTTGCTCATCGTCAAAAACATAGACCCACAAACTCTCCACAAGCAAATAATGGTGCAGCTCAGGAGTGATCTGCAGAGTAAACATCTTCACATCTTCAAAGTCAGGGTTGTTGCTGGACGGGATGATGGGTGTGTCGTGATCCGGGAAAGTGAAGAACTGGTACACGACATATGGGCTGGTCTGGGAGCCAATCCAACGGCTTCTCAAATTGGCACAGCTCTTGATCTGGATGCACAGCTCGTTCCAGCTTACGCCTTCGGTCTTCTAAGGGAGAAAAAAGGAATGGTGGTGATGCAGCAAGGAAGTAGCAGCAGTTGCTCAGTTCACAGTTTTTTCAAGTCTGAAAATATTCATTTCTTGCTGGAAGTTTTAATAAGTGGGATTTTGATTCTGAATAGAAACACAGTAGTGTTTTCCTGCACTGATTCTTTCAGCCTGGCAGTGGTTGTACCCTAATATGTGATCTGTGGAAGAGATAGGCCTTTGAATACTGTAAGGTAACAACAGAGGGTGAAGAAACAACTGTAGTTCCATCTGTGGATGGAAGCTGTGGAATATTTCCAATACCATAACTATGAATGGCCACTAAACAAAGAGTCATAAATTGAGGATGACCTGCAGGGCAACTTTGAGCAATGCAACCATTTCATGAGATTCACAAACTGGAATAGAATAGAATAGAATAGAATAGAATAGAATAGAATAGAATAGAATAGAATAGCATAGCATAGCATAGCATAGCATAGAATAGAATAGAATAGAATAGAATAGAATAGAATAGAATAGAATAGAATAGAATTCTTTATTGGCCAAGTGTGATTGGACACATAAGGAATTTATCTCCAGTGCAGAAGCTCTCAGTGTGTACATACAAGCCATTAATGATAAATCATGATCATAGTCATCTAGACCTCATCAATCTTGATAAATCATAGTCATCAAGACCTCGTAAATCATGATCATAGATGTCAAAACCATAGTAATCAAGACCTACTTGTACCATGTGAATAGGAGATGCCCTAAAGTTGCTATAGGGCAGCGTTTCTCAATCTTGGCCCTGTTAAGATGGGTAGACTTCAACTTCCAACAGCTGGCAGGAGAATTCTTGTAGCTGAAGTCCACACGTTTTAAAGTGGCCAAGAGTGAGAAATACTACTATAGGGTATTTAGGAGAACTTGAAAACTCTTTAAAATCATTTTTAATGGTCAAGTCTTTGGCAGAATGATGGCTTGACTTTCCGCTAATGGTTTCTGTTGGGTTGTAGCTTTGCTTTCTGGCTTGTTTGCTCCTAATTTTTTTGTGTACAAACCAAGAAGGATTAAACCCTGACCACAAGTCTTATTTTTGAACAGTAGATCAAACTCCTTTTTCTTACTCTGGCGCCTTGTGGTTGCCAGCTCGGCCGGGCTACAATCTGAGTTCCTGCTCCATCAGAGAGATACGGTTGACTCTGATGGCGGGGCCGTTGCTTGAATGGAAAGTGAAGTCTCATCCCGTATTCCAAAAGACCATAATCCTCACCCTTGGGACCTGGAGGGATAAGGGTAGGGAAACAATGGAGAAAGAAAGCCACATTTGGATGGATGAGTTGGAGCCGAATAAAAGTAATAATAATAAAGCAGCAGAATACACGAAAAAGAAGCGAAGAAGATAACAAAATATAAAGACCTGCAAATGGAAATAGAATAACGGTGGCAAAAGAAAGCAGAAGTAGTACCAAAAATACTAGGCAACTTGGGTGCAATCCTAAAACATCTGGAGCACCACTTGAACAACATGGGCATTGACAAATTCAGCCTCAGTCAATTGCAGAAGGCAGCTTTACTCAGAACAGCTTTCATTCTGTGACAATATCTGTAACACCATCAAACATCCAGATCTGCCTATCCCAAGTCCTTGGGAAGATCCTCTATAGGTAGACAAAAATGCTAAATCCAGTCTGAACATCTGGTTTATTGTGTGACAAACTGTCAAACACCAGGGTAATCAGAAGAGCCAGACCGTTCAAATGGGTATAAAGGTTTATTGTAGGCTTAAGCTGTCTACAAGAATCGGACGCGCGAACTGTGCAAAATTGGCTGAATTTGATTTTATGGAGCTCCTGTGTGAAGCACCCCTTCCCAATTTGACCTCCTGCAGATTGTGTGAAGCTTCTGATGTGCCAGACTCCTTATTGTGCAATATAATATCAAAGATTTGTAATACACAGATCTAGATTTAACAGATTGGGAAAACATAGCTCTAAGAAAGCTGTTTTGAGCTCTAAAGCCGATCCTCCCTTCTTCCATTCAATTCAAAAGTTCACTTTGATTTCAAAGAAGAGGTTAAGCTTCCAGGAGATGCCATAAAGGAAGCCTCCTTAGATATTCTCCCACATCACTGCAGCTGTTAAATTAGTCACACAGTTCTGACTTTGTTTGTCAGTAGGTCACCAAAAGGGATCACATGATCCCAGGACACTGTTACCGTCATAAATATGAGTCCGTTGGCAGGCATCAGAATTTTGATCAAGTGACCTCGGGGATGCTAAGTGTGAAAAATGGTCATAAACCACATTTTTCAGTGTGAACAGTCACTAAGCACACTGTTGTAAGTTGAGGACTACCTGTATTTCATCACTTTTTGGGGGGTTATCACATTTTTGACACCTTGCTAGGTGACTGGTGGTACTCGAATATTGCCATATTCCTAAAAGTGGTGCAACCTCAACTACATAAGTAGGATACATGAAAGTTCAAGCGCCAAATATGGAAACTAAGACTCATCTCATGGGTGACTTGGGATCATCGTCGTTCTTCTTACCACGCAAGACTGCAGTGCAATGAACTTGCTCTGCGCTGTCCAGCACTTGGCCAAAATGCAACCAGCAGGAGGCCAGGATGGTGTGGTCAACAGCAGAGGCCACGTGGAGATCCAGGCGAGAAGTGGCCCCTTGCAAGTACTGCATGAAGAAGGAGTCAACCTGGACCACATATTGGGAAGTGAAGTTGTAGTGGGGCCGAATGCCGTGGGCCAGAGGTGTACAGTGGGTCTCAAAGTCATAGAAGGCATAGGTGCAAAAGGTGAGAGGTTCGGAGTCTCTCAGAAGTTGGACGGCCTCAGCTGACAGAATTGCTCCAGAGATGTGCAACTCAAAGAGTTTCTCCCCGTGTTGTAATTTCAGAACCTTGCTAGGGACTCCTTCATCATCAACGTCACTGTCAGGTGGTCGAAGTCGGACAACTCTTGTTCCATATGCCACATCCTTCAACTTCTCTGGGGAAAGAAAAAAAGAAATAAACTTTGTTCCTTAGAACTGCCCACAAACATTCACACATATTTGCTGACTCTCGAAAAGGAATTCTCAAGAGAACTCAACTCATGTTTGGTGGCGGTCATTAGGTTGGGGCATCAGATCCAGCGGAGCAGAATGCCACCTACTGATAGATATGATATTTTGATCTTGTGAGGCTCTGTCACAAAGTGGTTGACAAGGAAAGGGAACGTCCACATTCACAAAATGATTGTCACAGTAGGCATATTAAGACACACAAAGCATGCACCCTTTTTTATGTGATGGGGCAAGAAGGTTGACTAATCGCAAGGGAGATGTTTGCAGACAACCTGGACCATTGACTATCATTGATGAGGGGTCTCCAAACCTGACAATGTTAAGATTGTGGACTTGTGGACTCCCACAATTCCTCAGCCAACTGCGAAGTCCACAAGTCTTAAAGTTGCCAAACTTGGAGGCCCCTGAAGTTGATAAGCAAAGTGCTGCAATTGTCTTCTAAGGTTCTAGTGTAAATGAGTTCTTCAACAGGTCAAGCTGAAGTCAAGTCAATCCTCCTTCCAGTTGAGCGCAGAGAAGAGCAATGAAGATGATTAGGGAACTGGAGGCTAAAACATCTGAAGAATGCTTGCAGGAATTGCGTGCGGTATGTGTACTCTAATGAAAAGAAGGAGTAGGGATGACATGATAGCAGTGTTCCAAAATCTAAGGGGTTTCCACAAAGAGGAGCAGATCAACCAATTCTCCAAAGCAGGACAAGAAGCAATGGATGGAAGCTAATCAAGGAGAGAACCAGCCTAGAAATAAGGAGAAATTTCTTGACAGTTAGAACAATTAATCAGTGGAATGGCTTGCCTTCAAAAGTTGTGGATGCTCCAACACTGGAGGTTTTTAAGAAGAGATTGGACAGTCATTTGTCTGAAACATTATAGGGTCTCCTGTTTGAGCAGGGGTTGGACTAGAAGTCCTCCAAGGTCCTTCCAGCTCTGTTATTCTGTTTTATTTCCATTTTTCCATAAGCCAGAGAAAATCTGTTTCCATGTTACCACCAATCATCAACTGGTAATCCAAACGCTCATCATGTGTGACCCAAGAACTGTCTGGTTGAAATGGAAAACTCATCTATGCACATCTCACTTTAGAAACTAAGATACAATACAGCTGTAAGTGGTACGGAGAAGGAAATTAAGCCTCAAGGAAAGGAAATGCCTCAAATATATCTGCCAGGTTTCTCAGTTCCATAAGAGAAGGATGCTTGGGTTTCAGTCTCGAAGGCAAGGTTGTGTACCTCGAGACTACATCTTTCCTTCTTGAATTGTGGGACAAGGTTTTCAATCCTACTGAACTGTGGTATTCCTAAAAATGAGCAGTAGAAGACAACGTGTATACCTTTAAGCTGATGAATGTGAGCATTGCGCAGGTCCAGAAGCTGGTCCATCTGCTTTTGCTGATCCTCATGCTCCTGTTTCTCCTGTCTGGACTGCGTCAGCACCTTCTCTAATTCCACCTCCAACCAAAAGAGCAGTCAACAGACTCAACTACAATTCATATCAACTTCCTCATCATTCCACCTATTTACCCTGTAGCATAATCAATGATCTCTATTAATTCACCAGTGGTGTCCTCTTACAATTATTATCCTTCCAACTGGCCCAGTCATTGGCCAGGGAATAGAATAGAATAGAATAGAATAGAATAGAATAGAATAGAATAGAATAGAATGGAATGGAATGGAATGGAATGGAATGGAGTGGAGTGGAGTGGAGTGGAGTGGAGTGGAGTGGAGTGGAGTAGAATTAGAGTAGAGTAGAATTAGAGTAGAGTAGAACAGAAACTTTATTGCCACTTTAAATATACACTAAATATACACATTTAAAGTGACAATACATATGTATCGGCATACATTAAAATGAAATTTTGTTGCATTCTGCTCTTAAAGGATAACCATTATGCATATACCCACATACACATAAATATATGACACAGAGAAACATCATAGTCTAGTTTGAATGTATACATATGCATGGCAAAAAAAAAAAAGAATCCTGTGAATTTACAAGAGGGACAGCATAGGGAACAAAGCTGTTACAGAATGTAGTAGTCCTGCTATAAATACTTCAAAACCTCCTCCCAGAGGGGAGCAATAGAAACAGACCATGAAGTGGTGTTTGGGGTCTCTAACAATGCTTTGAGCTCGAAACACATACAAGTGCTTATCAGCAGTGTTCCTGAATCATGGGAAGTGAGCTTCCTATAATCTTCTCAGCTGTCCTTACCACTCTCTGTATGGACCTTCTATCTGAGGCTCTGCTACCACCAAACCAGACAGCAATGCAGTTTGTTAAGATGCTCTCCATCATGCCTCTGTAAAAAGTGGCCAGGACAGAAGGAGAAAGATGTGCTCTCCTCATCCGACGGAAGATACCAGAGGCAGAGAGTATTTTCCAACAGGTGAGAATTAGTAATATCATGGACCTTAACAAATCCTTCATCGCATCCTAAGTATTAGTCATATGTATATTCAACTGAAATGTAAATTTGCAAAATTGGGTTCTAACCAAGCTTAACCTCAGAGAGAATATTGTTCATCTAACTGGGACATTGTAAATATACATCTAGAGCAACCTTGTTGCTCAAGTAATATTTTATTTGTATATATTGCTAATCCTCAAGGTCCCCCATCTTAGGTGTTGGATATATTTTGGTTGCACCTGATAATCCCGATTAATGCGATGCTGCAAAATGACCATGTTGCGTGTCTTCTCCAGTTCTAGCACTGTCTCTGCATGTGCAGCTTCAGCCTCATGAAGTTGTCGCTTGATGCTGTCCTGGATGAAGATTTCAATCTTTTCCTGATCTCTTTCTGGAACGTCTGCTGACAGACTCTGGAAAAAAGGAAAGAAGGAAGGAAGGAAGGAAGGAAGGGAGGGAGGGAGGGAGGGAGGGAGGAGGAGGAGGGAGGGAGGGAGGGAGTGAAGGAAGGAAGGAGGGAGGGAAGGAAGAAAGGAGGGAGGGAGGGAGGGAGGAAGGAAGGAGCAGAAACAGAAAGAAAACAAAATATGGAATTTAAAATGCTTGGAACTGTCAAAGCAACTCAAGGAAACATAATCTACTACCGATATTATCTTGGTATTGTCTGCTTTCCTATTCTGCATTGAAATGTTTTGCAAGGTTACAAGCATACTTACTTCTTGCTTGTTCAGACAGGAGCACCTTCAAAGAACCCTTTTCAGACTGAATTAAGACAAACTACTTCAAAAACCACTCATCCCTTAAGCTTTGTTACCTTTGCTGCTCAACCTAGCTGAGCCGAGGTGGCGCAGCAGTTAGAGTGCAGTACTGCAGGCCACTTTAACTGACTGTGTTCAGCAGGTCAGCGGTTCAAATCTCACCGGCTCAAGGTTGACTCAGCCTTCCATCCTTCCGAGGTAGGTAAAATGAGGACCCAGATTGTTGGGGGCAATGTAAATATATATATACATTGCTTACTGGTGTACACCGCTTAGAGAGTGCTTGCACTTAAAGCGATATATAAGTCTCATAAATAAATAAAAACCTAGATTCATAACCACCTACCTGAGTTGCGTTGGATTGAGGTGGTTCCTCTGGCACCTGGTTTTCCAAGATGGCCAGCCTCTCCTGAAAAGAGTTGACTTCCTGTTTCAGCGCTTCATTCTGAGCTTGTTAAACAAAGCAAAGAAAATTAGGATATTATAAAACTGGATTGGATTTGGCCCAACACGTTCTTCATTGAAGATGTTATGTTATGTTGTTATTACATTGTTGTTATTCTTATGTTTTATCCATTGTATTTTTTTATTTGTGGCTAAGTCATCTCGAGCGTTGTATAGAAAAAGGTTGTGCATTTGTGTGTGTTCATGTGTGTGCATCTGGACTTTGAAAAAACAGATGGAAAGAATATGGATAGTCTTCAACTCTGGTGTTGGAGAAGAGTCCTGAGAATACCATGAACAGTCAAGAAGACAACCGAATGGTTCATGGAACAAATCAACTAAATTCTCCCTTGAGGAACTAATGACCAGGCTCAAACTATCCTACTCTGGACACATTGTCAGGGGTACTTCCGGGTTGAAAGGATTAGCCAGTGACATCACCATTGCCCTGGGGAAGCCCAGTTGGAGGCGCCTTCCATGCCCCTGGAGGAGCTGGAGTGAAGGACAGGAGCTCAACCTTCCCCACAGCAGCTTTTGGGTCTCAAACATGGGCTTGCTAACCTGCTACCCAGCGTTCCAACCACTTGGGCCACTCAGCTCCTCTGGACACATTATGCTGGAGAAGGCTTAAAGGCTGAGAAAGGTGGAAGAAAAGAGACAAACAACAGCAAGATGGATAGCCTCAGCTACAGTAGCCATACGTGCATCATTAGCATTTTGTTGTTGTTGTTAGTTGCAAAGTGGTGTCCGACCTATCATGACCCCAAGGACAATGTTCCTCCAGGCCTTCCTGTCATTTACCATCTTTTGGAGTCCATTTAAGCTCACGCCTACTGCTTCGGTGACTCCATCCATCCACCTCATTCTCTGTCGTCCCCTTCTTCTATTGCCCTCAATCTTTCCCAGCACTAGTTTCTTCTCCAGTGAGTCCTTTCTTCTCATTAGGTGGCCAAAGTATTTGAGTTTCAACTTCAGGATCTGGCCTTCTAAAGAGTAGTCAGGGTTGATCTCCTCTAAGACTGACCTGTTTGATCGCCTTGCAGTCCAAGGGACTCGCAGGAGTCTTCTCCAGCACCATAGTTCAAAGGCCTCAATGCTTTGGCGCTCAGCCTTTCTTATGGTCCAACTTTCACAGCCCTACATTGCAACTAGGAGAACCATGGCCTTGACTATACACACTTTTATTGTCAGGGTGATGTCTCTACTTTTTAGTATGCTGTCTACATTTGCCATAGCTTTCCTCCCCAGGAGCAAGCGTCTTTTAATTTCTTGGCTGCAGCCCACATATGTGGTGATCTTGGAGCCCAGGAAGATAAAATCTGTCACTACCTCCATTTCTTCCCCATTTATTTGCCAGGAATTGAGAGGGTTGGATGCCATGATTTTGGTTTTCTTAATATTGAGTTTCAAGCCAACTATAGGGTTACTAATTTAACAATGGCAGTGATTCACTTAATAGATGTGGCAAAAAGGTTGTAAAATGGGGCAAAGCTCACTTAACAAATTTCTCATTTAGCAACATAAATTTTGGGTTCCATTGTGATCATAGGTTGAGGACTACCTGTATATTTAAATTCCCTTAATCAAAATTTGCATTAAAAAAAATTCACTTAGGTCTGCCTTGCATTTTGCACAAAGATGCTGCATAGAGTCACTGCAAGCTTCTAGTTTCAACCAATCCCTTACCTTGTTCCTTTTTTAGCTGCTCCTCTAGAATTCCTTTCTCTACCATGGCTAAGTTGAGCTGATCTGCCAAAGAAGGAGCATTGTCCTTTTGGGGCACCTGGTCTGGATTTTGTGGAGCAAGATTGATGCAACTGTTGACATAAGGGTGATAGAAAATCAAGGAAAAGTAAGATACCTGTGTTTCCCTCAAAATAAGAGTGGATCTTATATTAATATTTTTCTCCAAAAGATGCATTAGGGCTCGTTTTCCAGTTAAATCTTATTTTCAGGGAAATATAGTACTAAATGTATCTATCTGGCTGACGATCTTAACTGGGGCTTATTTTTGGGGTAGGGGATAATATAATGTAATGTAATGTAATGTAATGTAATGTAATGTAATGTAATGTAATATAATATAATATAATATAATATAATATATATAATTAATATAATATAATATAATTAATGTAATGTAATATATTATATTATATTATATTATATTATATTATATTATATTATATTATATTATATAGACCCAACCAGTACATAAGCCCAAGCATGACTTTTCAAGATGCTCATAATATATCTTGAAAAGTCATGCTAGGGTTTATGTACTGGTTAGGTCTTATTTTCAGGGAAATGGTAGAATAACAGAGTTGGAAGGGACCTTGGAGATCTTGGTCTGCATTTTAAGGTATCCCCAAACTCTTATTTATTTATTTATTTATTTATTTATGAGACTTATATACCGCTTCAAGTGCAAGCACTCTCTAAGCGGTGTACACCAGTAAGCAATGTATATATATATATTTACATTGCCCCCAACAATCTGGGTCCTCATTTTACCTACCCCGGAAGGATGGAAGGCTGAGTCAACCTTGAGCCAGTGAGATTTGAACCGCTGACCTGCTGAACACAATCAGCTAAAGTGGCCTGCAGTACTGCACTCTAACTGCTGCGCCACCTTGGCTCTTAGAGAAGAGCTCAACACAAATGTGTAATGGAAATATTTCGTGTTCCAAAAAATGCACTTGATTACTTTTGTTTGATAGCACTCAGGGAAGTTAGCCCAGAGAAGGAAATATTAAAAGGGCAGAAAAATATTTTTTTCCTCAAAAGGATTTTTAAAACCAAAAACCAACCCTGGCCTCATCTCTTTGCCCCAGGCAGTAGCCAGCCCTATACAAATGCAGATGTAAAACCATCAGAAAGTTGGAACCAGAGAACTCAAGAAGACAAAGAGAAAATCTGCATGCCCCACCCAAACTCTAGGAATCATTAGCCCCATCACCAGGGAAGCAGGATATGATAATAGGATTAAACCACAGATATCAAGGCCTAGAAAAACACTCAGAAATACCCTCAAAGTTCATGCCAGGAACAGGAAACTATTCCAAACAAAAGGCTAGAGGGGGTATAAAAACCTACTGCCCATGTGCTCAGCCCTCCTTCTTCTCTCCTCTGTTCCTTCCTGAAAGGACCATCTTTCTGTTTCTTCAATAAATTGTAACCTTCTTCCCAAAGCAGTCGCCATGTTGCTTATTTATCCCCAGCTTGGATGAACCAGGATGAAGACTTTAATCCAACAGCACTTCTGTACCTGTCCAACAGTCGGTCATAATCCATCTTTAATGAATCTCGCTCTGCTTCCAAATCTTGGATTCTTTCCTGGAACTGAGAATAGAATTCTTTATTGGCCAAGTGTGGTTGATACTGGGAGACAAGCCATAAAGGCTTTTAAGGGGGAATAACCAGCATTTGAACTGGACACCAGAGCAAATCAGCAATCATAAAATAGGCATTACATGGCTTCATCTAGCTGCAGAAAGACCGCAGCACTTTGAAGCAATTGAAGCTTCCCAGGAGTCTTCAAAGGCAGCCCCAGGGCGAATGTGTGGCAGTAATCAATGGCTTCATAGTTCCTCACCTCTTTCAGTGTTCCCCCCAAGGGTAAAAGGATTTCCAGTCGGCTTTCCAGCACGGCCACCTTCTGGGTCTTCTGCTTGAGGTTGGCATTCAGATCATCCAGCTGAGCCAGCAAGGCTTCACTGGCACACCTCAATGCCTCTTGTTTCTGGTGTAGACAAGAAGAAAAGAAAGGGGACTCATAGGATCTAGCCTCTTGGATGGCCTAGGAGCCCCATTCTTATATCTACTACGCCAAAAAATAATGATTGAGAAAGATCTTTGCTGGAAGTGAACCTCAGAAGCCTAGACAAAGGAGAGCAGATTACAGATTAAGGAGGACAAGAGGAACTGGCTTTGTTTTGTACATTTCCTAGTGTCAAATTCAGCATTTCCTACAATAAGGATCTTGTTGCTATGAAAGGGCAGATAAGATCTCTCTCTCTCTCTCTCTCTTTCTCTTTTCTCCCCCATAATTCCTGAAAATATAGGCTGATGAATATTAGAGCCTTCAGTTAGATGCCCAGCAGCACTTAGCATTCACACTGAGGCCTAAAAATGTGACCTCTGTTTTACAAGAATGTAGAAACAGGAATATTCCAAGCACTGAAGAATAATAATAATAACAACAGTAATAATAATAATAATAATGATGATGATGATGGAAGGGACCTTGGAGGTCATCTAGTCCAACCCCCTGCTCAGGCAGGAAACCCTATACCATTTCAGACAAATGTTTGTCTAGTCTCTTCTTAAAAACTTCCAGTGTTGGAGCATTCACCGCTTCTGGAGGCAGGTTGTTCCACTAGTTAATTGTTCTAACTATCAGGAAGTTTCTCCGTAGTTCTAGGTTGCTTCTCTCCTTGATTAGTTTCCACCCGTTGCTTCTTGTCCTGCCTTCAGGTGCCTTGGAAAATAGCTTGACTCCCTCTTCTTTGTGGCAGCCCCTGAGCTATTGGAACACTGCTATCATGTCCCCCCTCATCCTTCTCTTCATTAAACTAGACCTAGCCAATTCCAGCAACCGTTCCTTATATGCTTTAGCCTCCAGTCCCCTAATGATCTTTATTGCTCTTCTCTGTACTCTTTCTAGAGTCTCAACATCTTTTTTACATCGTGGTGACGAAAACTGAATGCAGTATTCCAAGTGTGGCCTTACCAAGGCATTGTAAAGTGGTATTAACACTTCACGTGATCTTGATTCTATCCCTCTGTTAATGCAGCCTAGTACTGTAATAGTAATAGTAGTAAAGTTGGAAGGGACCTTGGAGGTCATCTAGTCCAACCTCCTGAGGCAGGAAACCCTACACCATTTCGGACAAATGGCTGTCCAGTCTCTTCTTAAAAACTTCCAGTGTTGGAGCTTTTACTGCTTCTGGAGGCAAGCTGTTCCACTGATTAATTGTTCTCACTGTCAGGAAGTTTCTCCTTAGTTCTAGGTTGCTTCTCTCCTTGATTAGTTTCCACCCGTTGCTTCTTGTCCTCCTTCAGGTGCTTGGGAAAATAGCTTGATTCCCTCTTCTTTATGGCAGCCCCTGAGATATTGGAATACTGCTATCATGTCCCCCCTTGTCCTTCTCTTCGTTAAACTAGACCTACCCAATTCTCGCAACCGTTCCTTATATGTTTTAGCCTCCAGTCCCCTAAGCATCTTTGTTGCTCTTCTCTGTACTCTTTCTAGAGTCTCAACATCTTTTTTACATCGTGGTGACCAAAACTGGATGCAGTATTCCAAGTGTGGCCTTACCAAGGCATTGAAGAGTGGTATTAATACTTCACATGATCTTGATTCTATCCCTCTGTTAATGCAGCCTAGCACTGTGTTGGCCTTTTTGGCAGCTGCAGCACACGGCTGCCTCATATGTAAGTGATTGTCCACTAGGACTCCAAGGTCCATCTCATAGTTACTACTATTGAGCAAGGTACCCCCTATACTATACCTGTTCATTTGGTTTTTCTTGCCTAAATGTAAAACCTTACTTTTTCTCCATTGAATTTCATTTTGTTATATAGCGCCTAGTGTTCAAGTCTGTCCAGATCCTAGTAAGGTAATGAAACATCTGCAAGAAAACAAGCAAGCTCAGACTGCACCAAGGATCCCACTCTATGAAAGCGCCAAGACCTACCTCATGCAAGACAGTAATCTGAGCTTTGGAGATCACCAGTTCTGAATTCTTCTCCCATAACAGCTTCTGCAGCCGAATCAGCTCCACGTTCTTCTGGATGGCAGCTCTGTTGAGCGACGGAAACAAATTGGCACAGATCAGCGATCTCGTCCAGCCACGCAAATGCGCAATCAGCCCCATCTATGCAAAATCAATACCTCAAGAAAAGATTTCTTACTGAGCAGGCACTAAAACAGTGGGCTAGTCTCGAGAAATGCCCTGCTAACTTACAGTATATCAGCCTGCAAGGATTTGCTGTTATGCAGATCTCAGCTTATGATCACAATTCAGCCCAAAATTTATTTTGCTAAGATGTAAAGTGAATTTTGCCTTTCTTGCCACAGTTATTAAGGGAATCACTGCAGTTGTTAAGTTAGTAATGTGGTTAAGTGATTCTGTCTTCCCCATTGCTTTTTCTGAAGGCTGCAAAAGGTGATCACATGACCCAGAACGCTGCAATGGTCATAAATATGAACCAGTTGCCAAGCATCTGAAATTTGATCACATGATCATAGGGGTGCTGCAAAGGTCGTAACTGTGAAAAACGGTCGTTTCACTTTTTTCCGTGCCTTTGTAACTTCAAATGGTCACTAAACGAACTGTTGTAAGTCGGGGATGACTTGTATTTCCTTGTTCCAGGTCAAAAATTTATAACATTCCCAATTTCTAAATAACTGCCTAACCTTGACATGTGAATTTCTCTCTTTTTAAACCAAACTTCAAAAACCACAAGCACACCCAACATCGAACTTCTGCTTTAGTTGAATTTATCAATGAAAGCAGAAGAAGAATCAAGAGCGCTGTAGAAAACAAGGCCTTGGAAGACGTTTTAGGTGTAATCCTAGATTAAATCCTAAGTGACTTTGGGACAATCATCAGGAGACAGTGAGTTCTAGTCCTGCCTTTGCCATGAAAGCCAGCCAGGGGTCTTTGAGCCAATCAGGAGACAGTAAGTTCTACCGTAGTCCCATTTTAGGCATAAAGTTGACTTTCTTTGGGCCAATCACCAGGAGATGGTGAGTTCTAGTCCTGCTTTTAGGTATGAAAGACTCTTGGATGACTTTGGGCCAATCACTCTCTCTCAACCCAGCTCACTTTGCAGGGCTGTTGTTCTGGGAAAAATAAGAGAGGAAGAAATTGTTTAAAGAAAAATCAGGTCCAGTTCCAAACTGGGAATAAAATGGAGGCTGTTTAAGAAAGAAGGTTTATTGGGAGACTGGAATGGTGTGTTAGATACTCAAAGAGACAAAAAAGGATCTTCTATCTCTTTCAAACAGGCTAAATTACCTAAAGCCTTTTTGGAGTTGAAAGAGGACTGGGAGCTGAGAGACTACTGGCGTGAACGCAATCAGGAGGAGAGAGATTTCACCTTCTTTTCAGACAGACACCAATCTTTTTCAAGGATTGACTTCTTTTTGATCACAACTGATTTATTTTTCAGGCTAAAGAACGTTAAAATTTTTCCTAGGACATTGACGGATCATAGTCCAGTTTGGATGGAGTTGGTCGATGAAAAAGAGGAGAGGAGATCGTGGAGGATGAATGAAAACTTATTTAGACAAGAAAAGAATGTCCAAAAATTAAAGGAGCATTTAAAGGATTATTTTGTTTTGAATATGCATAAGGGAACTTCAATGTCTATGGTATGGGATGCAGGTAAAGCCTTCATGCGAGGGATTTTGATACAAATGAATAATGCTTATAGACAGAAGCAGATTCAGAAACGTAAGGAATTGGAAAATGAGATTAAATTAAAAGAAAAAACTTTGATTTTAAATCCCACAGATGAGAAGGACATTGACGGATCATAGTCCAGTTTGGATGGAGTTGGTCGATGAAAAAGAGGAGAGGAGATCGTGGAGGATGAATGAAAACTTATTTAGACAAGAAAAGAATGTCCAAAAATTAAAGGAGCATTTAAAGGACTATTTTGTTTTAAATATGCATAAGGGAACTTCAATGTCTATGGTATGGGATGCAGGTAAAGCCTTCATGCGAGGGATTTTAATACAAATGAATAATGCTTATAGACAGAAGCAGATTCAGAAACGTAAGGAATTGGAAAATGAGATTAAATTAAAAGAAAAAACCTTGATTTTAAATCCCACAGATGAGAAGGTTAAAGAATCTATAAAATTGCTTAAATCACAATTTAACATGCTGATGGCTGACCAAACTGCAACTAATTTATTGTATATGAAACAAAATACATTTTGTAATGCTAACAAACCAGGGAGATGATTGGCATATCAATTGAGAAAGAAACAGAGACAGAGAATTATAGATAAAATAAATTATAATGGTAAATTGGTATATCAGAAGGAGCTGATTAAGAAATCTTTTTTAGATTATTACCAAAAATTATACAAGAGTACTAAAGTACAGGTTTTAGATATAGATAACTACTTAAATGAAGCCAACTTTCCTAAATTAACAGAAGATCAGAAACAAGAAATTAATGGTTTGATTACTAATGAGGAAATTGAGATGGTGATTAAAGAAATAAAATTAGGTAAAGCACCGGGCACGGACGGCCTGACATCTATTTATTATAAAACTTTGATACAAGAGATGGTTCAACCTTTAAGAGAACTTTTTAATAATATATTACAGGGCTCAGAGATTCCCCCGTCATGGGGTAGAGCTTTTATATCTTTAATTCCAAAAGAAGATCAAGATCTTACTTTACCAAAGAATTATAGACCTATATCTCTTTTAAATGTAGATTATAAGATTTTTGCGAAAATTTTAGCCAATAGGCTCATGAGGGTTTTGTATCATGTTATACACACAGACCAAACAGGTTTCATAACTGGAAGGTATATGAAGAATAATGTCAGACAAATTATTAATTTATTAGAATACTTAGATAAAAATAATCAAGTTTCCGCAGGATTGATATTTTTAGATGCTGAAAAAGCTTTTGACCAAGTGAATTGGCAATTTATGTTAAGATTAATTGAGAAAATGTATTTTGGAGGAAAAATTCTACAAGCTCTTGGTGTTATTTATCAAAAACAAACGGCACAACTTATAGTTAATGGGGGTTTGTCAGAGGTTTTTACAATAGAAAAAGGGACTAGACAGGGATGTCCATTGTCACCACTGCTGTTTGTTTTAACTTTGGAAATATTGCTGATTAAAATTCGAGAATCACAGCAAATAAAAGGAATAGAAGTCAATAAAAAAGAATATAAATTAAGAGCTTTTGCAGATGATTTGGTGGTTACCTTATCACAACCTATACATTCTGTACTAGAGTTACTACAATTGATATATCAATATGGATGGGTTTCAGGTTTTAAAATTAATAACAATAAGACTAAAATATTATCCAAAAATATGACCAATCTTGATAAGCAGACCTTGGTTAATTTGACAGATTTCGAGGTTGTTGATAAGGTAAAATATTTGGGGGTTATTTTATCTGTCTCTAATGCAAAACTGTATAAAAATAATTATGAAAAGTTGTGGGTCAAGATACAAAGAGAATTGAAAAATTGGGAGAAGTTGCAATTATCTCTTTTGGGAAGAATTGCAGCAATTAAAATGAATGTTCTGCCAAAGTTTCTTTTTTTATTTCAAATGATACCTATTTTAAAGAATGAGGTTAACTTAAATGAATGGCAGAAAGGTATCAACAAATTTATCTGGGCAGGGAAAAAACCAAGAGTAAAACTTAAAATTATGCAAGATACTCGTGAGAGAGGTGGAGTCAAGGTACCGAATTTGAAATTGTATTATGATGCTGTGGTTTTAACATTAATTAGTGATTGGATTAACTTAACAAATGTAGAAATGCTCCTCTTGGAAGGGTGGGATTTACTTTTTGGATGGCATGCCTATTTAATTTTTAATAAAAAGGTTGACAGGGTTTTTAAATCTCATATTATAAGGATTTCCTTACTTCGGGTCTGGAGAAAATATTATAGAACGGATTCTAAAATTCCATTATGGGCCATACCATGGCACGCGATAGAGGGGATAAGGAGAGGAGTTAAGATGGATAGTGTTTCTTATGCACAGTTACTTAGATGGGATGGTAAAAATTGGCAGTTAAAATCTTTGGAAGATCTAGCACAAGAAAATATTATATATTCATGGTTTCAATACAGACAAATTGTGGATAGATGGAAGGTAGATTGTAATGTGGGTTTGCTTAGAGAAGATGAGAATTTTTTTAAACAAGTAAAAGATCAAAGACGAACTCACATTAAGAGAATTTATGGGGTGTTAGTAGAATTGGACTCAGAAGCAGAATTATTTAAAGAATGTATGATTAAATGGGAACAAAATTTTGGTGAACCAGTTCTATTAGATACTTGGGAAACTATTTGGGTGAGAAATGTTAAATTTATACAAGCTCAGAATTTAAGGGAGAATTTTTACAAAATGTTTTACAGATGGCACCTTGATCCACAAAAAATATCTCGTATATATCCTGACTTACAGCCTAAATGTTGGAGATGTGGATGTTTGGATGCTACTTATTATCATATCTGGTGGTCGTGTAAAAATATAAAAGCCTTTTGGATTAAGATATGGTGGAATATTCAAAGAATTTTTAGAAGGAGGGTAAAATTTACCCCACAATTGTTTTTGTTAGGTATTGTTATTGATTGTGATACCAAGGAGATTACATTGATGTTAAATTTAATTACAGCCGCAAGGTTGTTAGTAGGGCAATGTTGGAAGAAGGAATCTTTGCCTACTTTGCAAGAGTGGTTTCTCAAAGTTTCTTACCTGGCGGAAATGGCAAAGATTTCGGCTTTCTTGAAGGATCAATCGCAAGAGAAGTATGTTGTGGTATGGAAAAAATGGATAGATTTTATACAACATAAGTTGGATATAAAAAAATATTATTTAGTTTTTTAATAATTTATATTTAAAATGGAATATTTTGTTTCTTTTTTTTCTCTTTTTTTTCTTTTTTCTGTTCTTTTTCCCCCTTTTTTTCTCTTCCTCTATTCTTTTCTTTGTTAAACATTTATTTTTTGTTTTTTATATATATATACTATTGTTAATTATTTTATAATTTTTCTAATTAATGTATTTAGATTTTTAACTAATGCTAGACTCATTTATGGTTCATATTTTTTTCTTAAGATTTTTTGGTCAAATTTTAATTAGGCCTATATTCAGCTCTGGGAAGATTGCGGGTGGGAATGGGAGGGTTGGGGAGGTGGGGGGGAAGATTTTTTTGTTTTTGTAAAATTTTAAAAATTTAATAAAAATTATCTTTGAAAAAAAAAAGAAAGAAGGTTTATTGATGAGCAGAACCAACAACAGCATGCAGTTCTGGGACAGCTAACAAATTGATTTGATGAGTACAAGGATTTTTATACAGTTTTACAGCATTTTGTAATTTGAAGGCTTGCTTTGTTGTGCTTTTATTATTATTTGTTTAGCTTGTTTCGCAAAGGCTAAGAATGGGTCTAAAATACTGGCTTCCGTGGGTTTTAATCCTGTCAAACAAATGTAATTAATTCTGTCTTATCTTTAGTCTGCCTATTGCCTCCATTTAGCTCTCTTTGTGAATCAACAGGCATGATTCAATGTTTCTGCTTTTTGCAAAAGCCAGTGTTTGGGGGGCATAGTAAAAACAATTGGGGGGGTGTTCTTACCACAGAATATTAGGTATGAATATTAGGGAATCAAATGTTACCGGTATTCCTGCAAGTTTAGATAGCTTTTCTGAGGTTGAATGTATTCCAGATCAATTTCTTTATCAGGTGTGAAACTCAGCAACTCATGATCCTTGTCTAACTCAGCCAGCACCAGACTGTGGGACCTGAAAGAAGAAATACAATTTTGTTTTTTTGTCATTAATAGGAAGGAGAGAAAAAAACAACTGATGTTTCTAAAATGCATACCACTGTTTTAAAGATTGATCTTCTTTCTTGCAGGCTAACAAGAATTTTTTTTGAAAAAAAAATTATCCCACCTTTATTATTTTTATAATTCAAGGTAGTGAATGTACCTAATATTCCTTCCTTTCTTATTTGTCCCAGAACATCAGCCTGGTAAAGTGAGCTGGGTTGAGAGAGACTGTGATTGGCCCAAAATCATCCATGAGTCTTTCATACCTAAAGCAGGACTAGAACTCACCATCTCCTGGTGATTAGCCCAAAGATACCCAGTCAACTTCCTTACCTAAACTGGGACTAGAACTTACAGTCTCCTGATGATTGGCTCAAAGACACCCAGTTGACTTTCATGCCAAAGGCGGAACTAGAATTCTCTGTCCCCTGATGATTGGCCCAAAGTCACTTAGGCACCTTTCATGCCTGAGGCAAGACTAGAAACCACAGTCTCCCGGTGATGGGCCCCAGAGTCAGCTTTCATACTTAAGGCGGGACTAGAACTCACAGTCTTTCGGGTTTTGCTTGGAACCTTTCTGGAACATCATCAGCATATCTGGGAGACGTTGGCTGGACTGTCATGGTTGATACCTGCATCTCTGTCACCCAAAAAAAGAAAAAAAGAGAGAAAAGGATGGACTGACTGCAATGTCCTTGAATCTCTATAGACTTCCCACCATTCAACAAAGAGAGAGCATCCATAAAAAGTCCACTTGATGATTTCCAAGGACAATCTAATGCTGTTATTGTCAAGGTTCCGACCGACGGATCCAACAAAGTAAGCACAGCTGAGACCATCCAACTCTAATGCAAAATTTTATTGAGTACATCATTTTGGCACAGATGAAAGGAAAACCAGCTCTGGTTAATTCCCGCCTAAATCACTACATTAAAAGTTATGCTTTAGTCTCCCTCCCCCTATTAGTATAGGTCACATTGTCCAATTATAAGTCAGATAATTATTATGAGAGAATGTCTTTAATTCTCAGTAAACAACTATTGAGTGTCCTTGGTTCTCATGGACTGGCATCCTGGTATTTGGAGTTTGCATTCCATTCTCCCCTCCCCCACCCAAAAATGTTGGCAAGCGAAGAAGGAATAATGGTTGAAGCAGCATAGGCACTCTTCAGGCTTGACAGTTATTCAACCTAGAACCTTCCCAGCGATGAACCCATCAAGCTCTCCAACCTTCTTACCTTTCAGTGACTTCTTGGGCCCTGGTCTAGGAGAGGTATGCGGTCTACGAAAGCCTGTGTTGACTTTGGCTGTGATGTGGCCATAGGGACAATGACGGCTACAACCCTGCAGCTGTAGCTGTTGCTTGTAGAAGAACAGGTGACTCCTCAAACGCTGGTTGAGATGTTCCAACTCCCGAACCCGTTCCTGCAGGTCTTCTAGGCCTTCCTCTAAGTCCAGATTCCGCACAGATTTCTGAATGACGTTTCCGGGTCTCCTGTTCTGGGTCTCCTGTTGTGCTTGCTCGTGACTCAGTCTTGATCGTTTGGTGCCCATCCTGGAAGAAAAAGGAAAGAACATCCAATCTCGGTCTTCTGAGGGAATACTGTTGTTATAGCAGGACTGGGTCTGGGTTAGGGTTTCTGCTTTAGACACTCGTTGGCACTATTTAAAACTTGTCATGGGTGACAAAAGCCAAATAAGAATTATGTAGGAACAGATAGAAGAACTAAGTAACTTTGAATGAACGAAAATAACAGAATAACAGGATAACAGAGTTGGAAGGGACCTTGGAGGTCTTCTAGTCCAACCCCTGTTCAAGCAGGAGACCCTATACCATTTCATAGAGATGGTTGTCCAATCTTAAAAACGTCCAGTGTTGGAGCACCCACAACTTCTGGAGGCAAGTCGTTCCACTGATTAATTGTTCTAACCGTCAAGAAATTTCTAGGTGGCTTCTCCCCTTGATTAGTTTCCATCCATTGCTGCTTGTCCTGCCTTCAGGTGCTTTGGAGAATAACTTAACCTCTTCTTCTTTGTGGCACCCCTGAGATATTGGAAGATTGTTATCATGTCACCCCTGGTCCTTCTTTTCATTAAGCTAGACATACCCAAACACTGCCCAGTGAAATTATTGCTATATGTTTTGTGAAGCAATCTAAATAACGTGAACTTCATGTCTCTCATCATCAGAATATGTGTTTAAATAATCTTGGGATGGAACACCTGCCTCCCTTATTTAGTTGTAACTTCCTTACATGACAATGCTACATTGCAATTCCCATGTCCTGCCCCAAGAGGTCACTAGAGCTAGATCTACTGCAAGATCTACTGCACTTGCAAAGAGTTGTATAACATCTGCCATTAATTCTTTTTTTTTAAAAAAAGATGCTTAAAATATGTCATTTTCAAGAGGACCTTTTCACTGTCGATTTTGGTTTTCGTTTTCAGGTGGTCCTCGACTTACAACACTTGGTTTCGTGACCTTTCGAACTTACAACACCACTGGAAAAAGTGAGGTATGATCATTTTTCACACTTGTGACTGTTTCAGATCCCTGTGGTCACATGATCAAAATTCAGACACCTGGCAATTGATTCATATTTATGACGGTCACCATGTCCCGGAGTCACATGATCCCCTTTTGAGAACTTCTGACCAATAGGGAAGCCAGTTTCACTTGACGACCATGTTCTTAACTGAACTGCAGCGAATCATGGGGCAAAACTCACTTAGCAACAGAAATTTTGGGCTCAATTGTGGTCGTAAGCTGAGTACAATTTTGTACACTGTTTTAACAGTTTGTCTTCTGATGGAAAAAGGTCTGCTGAACAATGGAACAAACTGCGCTACTTGTGGAGACGTCTCTAAGAAGAGACTTGAACAATCTTCTCTCGTGTTTAATTTAGTTTAATTTCTTTTCTTGTAATGAGTTGGTATAGATCAGGGGTTCTCAACCTTGGCAACTTTAAGACTTGTGGACTTCAACTCCCAGAATTCCTCAGCCAGCAAAGCTGGCTGAGGAATTCTAGGAATTGAAGTCCACAAGTCTTAAAGTTGCCAAGGTTGAGAACCCCTGGTATAGATGATATTTATGCCCCTTCCAATTCTATGATTCTATGATGGTTGGACTAACCCCAGAAGAAACCTTCCATATAATACTTCATTCACCCTTTGACAGTCTTCATTTCAGCATGAAATCCAGGTCCAACAAGCAAATTAAAGATCGTACTGTCAATGGTGGTACCTAATCTATCACAGGGGTCTTGAAACTTGGCAACTGGCTGGCTGAGGAATTCTGGGAATTGAAGTCCACAAGTCTGAAAGTTGCCAAGTTTCAAGACCCCTGGTCTATCAGATCGATCGCCAAGGTTTAATAAATTCACATATTCCTTCCAGTACCTTTTGATCTTGTTCCCCTGCTTTTGAGTCAGCTCTTTGAGCAGCAAATGTTTGTCGCAAAGTCGTAGAAAACTGCCGGCCAACTCCGCACGGCTCGCTTGGTTGATCTGGTGCCGAGTCTTTGCTAACAAGTCTGATCCTGGAAGAAACAGAAGGTGGAAACCATGGGAAAGAAATGCAAAATTAGGGACTATCTGTCTGTCTGTCTATCTATCTATCTATCTATCTATCTATCTGTCTGTCTGTCTGTCTGTCTCTGTCTGTTTGTCTGTCTGTCTATCTATCTATCTATCTCTAGCATCTATCTATCTATCATCTGTCTGTCTGTCTGTCTGTCTATCTATCTATCTATCTATCTATCTATCTATCTATCTATCTATCTATCTATCTATCTATCTATCTATCTAGTTTATATACATGCCCAGGTATATATGACTCTGAATACAGTTCAATAAACACTTAATATTTTCATCAAAATATTGCAGCATTCTCCCACAAATATTGTTTATACATTGCTGCCTGTTATTCCACTGTGGTTCTTTGGATTATACTGTATAAAGATCAGGTTGAGACTGATTGCTTTGTTACCTTCCTTGCCAAATATGTCCTTAGGAAGGCAAAGACTAGAAGCAAAAATTAAAAGCAATTTCACAGTCACTTGAGACATGTTGAGTGGGACATAATGAAATGGGAGATAAGCAAAGATTCAGGGTTTTGCAGAGCAGACATCTCTGCTTCAGAGATTCAATAAGTCAAATCATTAAACCCATCCCAATCAGTTCTACAATTAATGATATCATAGTTGACATGACATCGTCTCAGCAGCATCAAACCAGCCGTGGCTGATCCTTGGAAAGAAGACTTGATCCATACTTGAATAGGAGACCACAAGGAAATCCCAAGCCAATAGGGACTTCATAAGACATTCCAAATTAGCTCTGTATTATTGCAAGAAAACAACACAAGTGTACTCATTGGGCCACTAGGAGTCAGCCTCAATTTAAAGGAGGCTCTGTCTGACTTTTGGTGTCAAAGCTAACAATCATTCGATGGAGATCCTGCCATAATGTAGAGAAGCAAGAAATTAAGGATTATTTTCCCCCTCCTGGGATTCCACACTGGATAGGCATTGAAGTTCCAGACATCCGGAGATTGCCACTTTGGAACGCTTTATCTTTAAGGCTAACCTTGAAGGGCTGCTAGTACTGAAGGCTTCTGATCCATGTCTTGAACAGGCAGGTTTCCTGCAATTTCATCCAGCAAAACAGACATGGCTTGGGACAGGTGGGAAGTGGCTGTAGTAAAAACAAAACAAAAAGACAGGTGGGAACTGGCTGTAGTAAAAAGAGGCTAAAGTACAAGCCCACAAACACAAGACCAACAATAACAGCTCTGCAAGAAATAGAATGAAGTTGGACATTTGCATTTAACCCCAAGCTTCCTTTGGCGGATTGCCTATTCCAGTGGTTCTCAACCTTTTTAATGCCACGACCCCCAACCGATCGTAAGTCGAGGACTACTCAACCGGTCATAAGTCGAGGACTACTCAACTGGTGCAGCACCGTTTGCAGAATGGGACTTTTGGCGGGCTCAGCAAGGCAGAGACAGCCTGGACAATTCCTATTGGCTTTTGAAAGCCAATAGAATTAGACTCTATTCAAGAATAAATAGAATAAAAGGGAGTAGCACAGCTAAGGAAAAGGGGGAAAAAAATGGCGGACTGCGTTGTTTGGCGACCCCCGTGAAATGGTCATTCGACCCCAAATGGGGTCCCGACCCACAGGTTGAGAACCACTGGCCTATTCCATAGTGTTCATCTACTATAGGGCATATCTACAGGGCATTGCACGCCAAAACAACTAGACACGGAGACAGTTTTTTTTCCTTGTGCCATCACTCTGCTGAACACCTAATTCCCACAGTGCTGTTTAAGCATATTTACCCATGTAGTGTGGCTGTATTACTTTTATCCTTCTCATATGTTCCACTTCTTTTTCTTATTGGTATCATTATTAAGACAATTATTACTTTGATATTATTATTGCTATTACTTTGTTGTTTTGCATGTACACTGGGAGCTTATGCACCAGAGACAAATTCTTTGTGTGTCTTTCACACATGGCCAATAAATCTATTCTATTCTATTCTATTCTATTCTATTCTATTCTATTCTATTCTATTCTATTCTATTCTATTCTATTCTATTCCATTCCTGTCCATATTCCATATTACCCTACTTGTATCTACTTTTGATGACTGCAATTCAAAGTAGTGATGTGGACCTTTGAAGGCCTGAATGTTTGTCTCCAAGGGATCTGAAGGATTGCCAATATCTTCCAGACAATTAAGATAATCTTTATAATAGTTTGATTTAAGAGAGGAGAGGGGGGCAGGGAGGGTGGATGGATGGATAGATAGATAGATAGATAGATAGAGACAGAAAGACAGAGACAGATATAGATAGACAGACAGACAGACAGACAGACAGATGATATATAAATGATAGATAAACAGACAGACAGCTTAAGAGACCCAGCTAAAAACCAGCTGACAGTAAGTTCTAGTGGCATCTTAGGCATGAAGCCAGTTGGATGACTTTAGATCAGCCACTCTCTTTCATCCAGGAAGCAATGGCAGACATTTCTGAAATCTTGCCAAAGAAAACTATTGTCCAGGCAATTACCAGCAGTCAACATTGTGTGAAGGAAAACAAAAGATAGAGATAGATAGATCGAAAGATAGGTAGACAGGCAGGCAGGCAGGCAGGCGACAGACAGAGAGATAGACAGACAGATTCCTGCCTCCAGCAGCTGCTCCATCCATCTCGATGATCAGGAAAGCTAAATGGGACTGACCTTGTTGGTACATTTGGGAAGTCCAAGGCTTTGCCTAGAGTCTAGACTAGCAGATCAACAAACGCTTGAGAAGAAAAGAAGGGCAAACCACTTCCTTCCTTCTTGTTCTCGAGAAAATTGCATGGACCTGTCCATAAAGTCAACAGGAGGTCCGTTCAGTTCAAAGGAGACCTGCCTTATGTAGATACTAGTGTGGTGCCATATTTCCGCTTCAGAAGCAAAACCATGGTGCTTTGGAATCAGTGAGAAGCTATGAGTTCCCAGGAAATGGTACACTTGATTCAAAGAGTTGCAGACAGGGGGTATACGTGTGTGCCATTTTCTCCAAAGTATCCAAAGCTGCTTTTTCAAAAGGCAACTGGACTTCCTTTGTTTTTTTCTTGAAGATGTTTCACTTCTCATCCAGGAAGCTTCTTCAGTTCTTCGGTAATGCAGATGAACTGAAGAAGCTTCTTGGATGAGAAGCAAAATGTCTTCAAGAGAAAAAAAAAGTCCGGTTGCCTTTTGAAAAAGCACCTTTGGGACAGTCATGACCTGGTCGACTAAGAACCTCCATAGATATTTCTCCAAAGTACTTTCTTCCTTCCTTCCTTCCTTCCTTCCTTCCTTCCTTCCTTCCTTCCTTCCTTCCTTCCTTCCTTCCTTTCTTTCTTTCTTTCTTTTTTAAAAAGGCCTTTAAATCCAAATCTTCCCAGAGTCCTGATAGTTAGAGTTAGTCTAGCTACCTGTAACAAATAAATTTCCCTGAAGTTGGCCTTGCTGGAACAGCAGAAAAAAAAAAGGGGGGGGGGAGTCTTAGGATATCTGGAAAATCAACATGAATTTGCAAGGAGCGTAATCTGCAAATACAGATTATTTCTTGCGTTAACAGACATAATGTCTTCGTAGAGACACGTCCATATTTGCATGACGAACAAAGGCAGAGTTGAGACGTGACTGTCATGTTTATGACCCCCCCCCCATACTTTGAAGTTCTCTCTGCGTCTAGTTAATTAAAGGAGAGTAATCATATCAGCTGGTGATTCTCTTCTATTTTTGCTTCAACTGGCAAATTGAGGTCTCTTCTCTTACACGAGAGAAGCCGAAAGAAAATCTGGCTTTCTCATCCCCACAGGTTCTTGAGAATCCCTGGAGATTTTCTTCTCTGATAATCAGCTGCCATCTGTCCAGGCAAGTTAATCCAAGCCTGCACTACCGTTCAAGGGTAGCTATAAGAAAAAGAGACAGATGCTAAACCTAAATTTTCTCCAAAAGGTTGAAAAAAACTAAAAATTTTAGGGTTCCTGAAAGGGAAATGGAATAACACCAACTAGCAATCAGAAGACATGATGAATTTCCTTCATTTCACAACACATCGGCAGACTTAACCATAGTTCCAACTGGGAAACTGTGAGCATTCTAGATCAGTGGTGGGGAACCTAGGGCACGGGTGCCAGAGGCGGCACACGGAGTCCTCTCTGTGGGCACACATGCCATTGCCCCAGTCTTGCCTCCCCTCACGACCCCCTTCTCACCAGCAGCCCCCCTGGAGGAGAGTCACCCCCGAGCGTGACCCACGTGGAGCAGCGCAGCCAAGGACATGGCAGCCAGGCAGCGCAGACAAGACTCTGTCCTCATGCCCCATCATGCACAGTTGATGCTGTGGGGCGCGGGCAGAGGGCGTAGCCACCATGGCGCTGCTGGGCTGCCTGGGCAATCTGCGGCGGCCCTGGAGGCGATGAGTGGCTCTGCAGGCAGGCGGGGTGGGGGCGGGACAGAGGGCGGAGCAGGGGCGGGGCCAGTTTTTGTGCACTCGGTCTCTAAAAGGTTTGCCATCACTGTTCTAGACCAAGCCAGGTTCAAAAACGTTGGAGAATTCCTGGGAACCCAGGACTCAGACAAATCTGCCATCCACAGACACATAGAGATAAACAACATGTACATACATACCATTCAAAGGAAGCAATCAGCCAAAAAGGAAACAAAAAGAACCAAACAACTCCTTACCAGCTATCAACACCTAGATGAACAAAAGATTAATACTAGATTAACAATCAAGAAGCAAATAATACTCCAGTCAAGGAACTACCAACTCAGACAAACAGTAAATAACAACCTAATAAAAAAAATATGCCAGGAACAATCCCACCAACACTGAGAGGGCAAGCCACTAGCATATAGGAGGGCAATTCAGAAATAAACCTCTGTTTGAGCATGTGCGAGAAATAGTCAGAGATAGCGACGCCCGTCCTATGGCGCTATGTGCAGTAGTTCAATAGGCAGTGAGGAGTGGAAAGAGAAGGTTGTGTTGCAGTTGACTCGTCCGCTAGATCAACTGAAAAATGAACCCCGCCATAGAAAATCCCTCCAAATGTGAAGTGTGTACAGTCATACGATTCCTGGGTGTAAAAAGACTTTCGGCAACTGCGATTCATCGCGCACCATGTAATGTTCAGGGACCAAACATGATGAGTGAAGGTGTCGTATGTCAGTGGTGTTGCGTGTTTAAAGATGGATGAACTGACGTGCACGATGAGGCAAGAAGTGGCTGACTATCTGTAGTCAGCGATGAAATTGACAAAAAGGTTTGTGAAGTCCGTCGGTTCACCATATCTGCATTTTCTTTACACTTTCCCCAAATTTCTCGGACCGTTTTGTACGAGGGTAGTGACAGAAAATTTGGGATAACGCAAGTTTTGTGCTCGTTGGGTACCAAAACTCCTTTCTGAGGAGCACAAAACACACCGAATGGGTTCACGACGCTGTTACAGGGTGGCTTCATTCCCAGGCGGGAGATTTTTTTTGCAGAAGGAATTTCAAACTTTGTAAGACGTTATGACAAGTGCTTCAATTTGAATGGCGATTATGTCGAAAAGTAATGTAATGTTGCAGTTTTCTAAGTGCAATAAAGTGTAATAAAAGTTCTGTATCTGTCAGAACATTGAACATCTGTCAGTCATTGATAACCAAACGGAGGTTTATTTCCGAATTTCCCTCGTAAAAAGAGAGCAAACCCCAGGTCTTCCTTCTAGCACTGATGACGTTACACTGATGGGTAACAAAACGTCTGCAAGAAAACAACAAGCTCAAAGAGCCCCAAGGACTCCATAATTCAACCTGAGCTACAAATATTCTCTCCTTGTTGGAAACTAAATACTCACTGTGCAAAACAATCATTTCTCACCAATTTCAACTGGATGGATGTGTGTGTGCTTTCAAATACCTTCAGATATCTTCAAAAATTATTTCTCTTGTTTGATCAAATATTGCTTATGGATAATCTGCGGTGAACTGCTGAGGTCTCTATTGAATTCCATAAATCTTCCTTCCTGTTAGTTCCCTGGATAGTAGTAGTCCTCAACTTACAACAATTTATTTAGTGACCGTTCAAAGTTACAATGGCATTGAAAAAAGCGTCTTGTGACCCTTTTTCACACTTAACAACCATGTCAGCATCCCCA